TGGATCAATATAAATCTCAAGGACCAACATGTATAAATCAGCACAGTACTATCTCTACATATAAAAACTATAAATCTAATTAAAATAGTTTGAATGCAATATCAATTTTTAATTTTCAATTAGAATTATTCAGGTTATAGACTGCATACAATTTCAGACATTGGATTGCAAATAACGCTTGTATTGTGGTGTATTCTTAGACTGATTATAAAACGTACCGTAGGTAAGTACAAGCTAAATTAAGCTAGAGTATTAAGACACAACTGCTTATCAACTATATACTGTAATAGCCTCTATTCATATCCAAAGGAATACTAGCCTGCAAATCACAATACTAGTTTGAGGATTGCATTAGACTAGAAATATATTGTAACATAAAATTTCTCATAAATTCGTTGCTAGGATGTCCCTAGACAAGAATGTACATATACTTTATACAATAGTACGTCATTTGCTCCCCAAAAAATTGCTGCACTGCTATACTGTACTGCTAGTCCACATGTTAGCTAAAAGTGTTCAAGTTATCTCTCTAATTTATTCAAAAATCATCATATAAGAAAATTATCTACGATTAAACGATATCGAATCTTTTCTGGATAAGAATATATGCTATATTCATGTAGACGAACTTGAGCATTTGTTTCTATTTCTTGCAAATGACATAATGAATGAACATTATAGTAGGAGTACATTTGATCACACAAGTAGAACAACATACTGTATTACAAGAAGGGTAAAGAAGCTGCAGAGTTTGAATAAGAATAATTGAGTACTTTCTATAATAATCACGTTTGCTATGTTATTATCTCAACCTCAGGGTTTGATTTCCTTTTTTGAGCTCGATGAATGACATCAATTCGAATGCTTGCAATACGTTCATGAAAACCTTTAAACTGTAAAATGAAGAAGTTAGAAATAGAGTAATAGAATTCCAATTCTTGAAAATAATGCATCATATTAGTTGTACCGTTACGAATGTGTAGTTGTATCTTTCCTCAATGCCTGCTATAAGCGAGCTACGGTACGACCGCAATTTGTATCATGGATTACTAAATGCATCTACTTCAAATACATTGTACTGAATTGGCCATGAATGAATATTATAATTTTAATGGTTGATACCATATTCAATATGTTTCTACATACGTATATGTAGTTGTATTATTTTGTCAATACCTGTACTGTAAGTAAGTTGTAGGTAGGATTGCAACTATAAGTGAAGGAATATTATAATTTTAGTAGCTGATACAACACGAGTATACGTTTGCAGTATCTCTCTCAGTACATGTTTGTAATAAGTGGATGTATCTTTCTTCCGGTATCGTAGGTAAGCTATACTGTAGTAGGACTACAATTATACTGTATATTAGCTAAGAGCAGTCCATCATGGATTATAGTACTACTGTATATGCCAGTAGTTGAAATGAATTGCAGAGTAAGTCATGAATACTCTAAATGTTGATGGCTAATGTAATATACTGTACACTATTACTCTACGTCAGTCTATCAAATGGCGTACGGATGTAATGCCTGTAGCGCAGGCTATTGCAGCTACTACTTCAAATCTATCTACATTATAGGTAGGTTCGTATATATTGATTATTTTATATCAGTCATGAATACTCTAATGTTGATAGCTAATGTTACATATACACTATTACTCTACGTCAGTCTATCTAATGGCGTACGGATGTAATGCCTGTAGCGCAGGCTATTGCAGCTACTACGTCAAATGTATCTACATTATAGGTAGGTTCGTATATATTGATTATTTTATATCATAAAGAGTTAAGCTGTCCAATTCTATTTTCTAGCTTATCCTTTATCCTACACCAATGCTACCTTGAATTCTTTGTCAAAAGATACAGTAATCACTGGCTGACTGTTGTGGCATAAGCTAACATGGATCATCCATTGACTTTTGTATTGATCTACATCATGGAATGCCAATACAATATAGTCAAATTCAAATTGGATCATTTCATATGTATAGTAGCTTTTCTACTAAACAATGACTAGCATTAGCCTTGAGCAATGAATATCTTGATACCTATCCTGAAATACAGGCAATGATTTGATAACGGGTACGAGCATGATTATGGATAAAAATAGAGATGATGTTTCAGCAAAGAATGTACAAATAATCCTGTAGAGGGAGAATGAATTGCTTGTACAATCAACCATTGCTACTTACTTTAAATCTCGTCTCCATCGAATCCTTAAGACTTTTCATTCGTTTCTTGACCATCTTTGCAGTTGTTCATTCACAGCTATACCCAAGAATTGTAGTAGGAAATGAAATTATCGTTGCTACTCGTGTCTTTCGATAGATGTCGTCCAGCCGGTTGTCGATCGTGTAATGGAGGTGGTTGATCGATCGCTTGCACCTCTAATCTTCAGCCAATACAGTATGGATGGATTACAGTAGGTCTCTTCCGTTGCCCTTTTTATTCAGAAACTATTTTGAATGCTTCTCAAACGTACTCCGAGTTCAAATCAAGCTTGAAATCGCTCCATCATCAACTCGCCACAGCCTCCAACTACCTTGCTTTGCCAAGAAGAAGATCGATTCATTTGAGGCCTTGCTCAACTCCTTTGCTGCAGTACTTTACCCTTAGCTTACGTTACCGTATCGTACACGGGATACCCAATATAAGCACATGGCTTTTCATTTGACTCTGACCTCCTATACTCTCCCGGTATCGACTGTACTGAGTATGAGAGCAGTCCGTTGTGATCATCGGCACTCGATGTTGTCACGCCTCCTACCTCCATCTTGTCTGATGGGTTAAAAGCGCTTTAGCTCAAAATTACATCTTGAAATTGGAATGATTGAGTATTGACTTTAAGATGGCTCCAATTGCACGTAAATTGATCATGACAATGTTGAGTAATATTGGCCCTTGGTAGTTTGATCCATTTTTACTACAGTGTTGAGGAGTTATTATAGTCGATCGATGGGAGTTGCTAATGGACAACGGGGCAAAATTCAATTTACTTCTTTCAAATTTCCAATACAAACCAATCCTTTGGCGAAATATTGATCGATAGTACATTCAGCAAGGTGAAACTAATCCAACTAATGGACAACGGGGTAAAATTGGCTTACTTCTTTCCAATTTCCAATACAAACCGATCCTTTCGCCAAACGTTGATCGATAGTACATTCAGCAAGGAGACACTAAGCAAAGTAGTCACTTTGCCTACTTACAATTGGCTTGGTTATCATCCGTAATCATGCCTAGCAAATCTTTCATTGCAAAATGCAGTTCTTTCCAATTTCCAATACAAACCAATCCTTTCGCCAAACGTTGATCGATAGTACATTCAGCAAGGAGACACTAATCAAAGTAGTCACTTTGCCTACTTACAATTGGCTTGATTATCATCCGTAATCATGCCTAGCAAATCTTTCTTTGCAAAATGCAAACCAATCCTTTCACCAAACGTTGATCGATAGTACATTCAGCAAGGTGAAACTAATCAAGGTAGTCACTTTGCCTTCTTAGAATTGGCTTGGTTATCATACAAGTCATACCGTAATCATGCCTAGCAAATCTTTCTTTGCAATTTCCAATACAAATCAATCCTTTTACGAAACGCTGATCTACAGCACATTCAGCAAGGTGAAACTACTCAAAGTAGTCACTTTGCCTTCTGAGAATTGGCCTGGTTATCATACAAGTTACACTGTAATAGTCATCGACTACTGCATACGGATAGTCATGCCTAGCAAATCTTTATTCGCAAAATTGAGTTCCTTCCTTAAAATTTCCAATACAAATCAATCCTTTTGCTGATCTACAGTACCTTCAGGAAGATGAAACTAGTCAAAGCAATCACTTTGCCTACTTAAAATTAGCTTGGTTATCACACAAGTCATGTCGTAATAGCGGTTTACTACTGTATCCGGATAGTCATGCCTAACAAATCTTTGTTCATTAACATCCATGGAGCATCAGCCAGCAGAGCACTTGTATTCTAATTTAATTTTTACAATGCTTTCTTTGAAATATTGACCCGAAGACTTTAATAGCAAATCCTTCAAAATAAATCGATATTCTGATACCACCATACTGAATACTGCACACTATAGTATACAATATCAAATCTCTCTCGGATTCGTACTTCTTTACTCAATGATCGTAAGTACTCACGGGCTCGTACAGTCGCATCTGGATCAGTTGAATAAAATGTTTCCATTACTTTTTATGCCAGTCAGGTAAAATAGAATTATTACATTAAGAATATTCACATGATTGAATTAGTTAGCAACATGATAACGGCAAGACTGTATTGATCTCAGATAGTGATTCAATTTGATTCATACTATACTGTACATTGTGCAATCGCAAACCGGCTAACAAATTGCTTGTAATTAATTATAATCAGTAAGAAAAAGTACTAGAATAATAAAGGCAAATTCTAAAGACAGTTCAAAATAGTACATCCTATAAAATAGTAGCATTTATATCCACAAGAACTTGTTTTATTGCTTTGTAAAATGAACTAGCATGTAATAGAATCCTATGTTAAATCAACAGATATTTTCTCCGGTAAAATGATGCATCGTGATGTGATGCTTAACAACCAATTTAGAACATATAAATCAGAAATAACTTTATCAACATCACAATCAAAAGGAGCACTGTATGCGTATAGCACAGCGCCATGTAGAAATGAAAAATGAAAGCTAAATAAACTATTAAAAATATCTTATTTTTGTCAGTTTGTCTGAATTATCGAAATGATATATTGCTATGTACATTAATACCAGTAAATAGGTTTATAGCTGTATTTCATTTCCAGCAAGGATATCTGAATCTATATTTGTTGCACTATATATGTATAGCTATACAGCATGTATACAAAGGAGTATAAATCACTTCAAAATTGTTTAAAACCATCGAAATTTATCAAACCTTCGTCTCGCCTAAGATGGCTAGCAAACCACATCATAATCAATATAGAAATATTTCATACAATATGGTATAGAAGCATTACTTCATCAAACTTGGATTCAACTGATCGGCTAAATCAGGCATATTAAATAGATTTGTTTTGAGCATAATTGATGTAAATTCATCGACATCGACAGCATTATCGCCATCTTGATCCGCCTCATTAATCATATCCCGTAATTCTTGATCCGTAAAACTCTCTCCTATCTCTTGACATATTTTACGCAACGTCTGAGTGGTAATCTTGCCAGTATCATCTAGAAATAATTCAATATGTATTTAAATACTTAGCCTCAACTTAGTTTATCTTAATGTACACCAACGAAATACTATAAAACTATGAACTGATCGTTGGTTACCAGTCGTATCTATCTGCTCTACACTTACCTACATCAAACATTTTGAATCCCTAGGTATAAAATAGTATTTAAAAGCGTTAATGATATCCTAGTATCATTATTGTTATGCTATCTTTAACTATAATATTATGATATGCATAATCTCTTACTCATCATTACAGTTTACATAAATCTTGCTATAAATCAGTTACATATACGCTACTGGCCAGTAGCGCATTATTCTTTAAATCAATCTTTTGGTACATGTATAAGCATCGATAGAGACAGTGCAAAAGATAAACCTACTGATACTTGTATAGTGTACAGGTACGAGTATAGCAAAATTTTATAACCGCCATCTTATAATATCGATCGATTTCATTAAATACATCATCAAAAATCTTAACTGAAACGAACACTTTCAAGGTTTATCTTGATATGCAAAATGCTACGAGTATACTACTATTGCACTGTATGTTCAAAAATTACAAGTGTACTGTTCATTCCGATAGTTGAAAGTTTACTATTATGCCTAGCTAACGAATTACCTGAGCTAATTCTTCTTTAATATCACGACTTTCACCTTGTCGATCAATTACAAATCGTAGGAAATCGTCAAATTCAATTTTGCTATATAATAGTAATAAAAGAGTTGTGTAAATAATTTTAAAATTTTCAATATCTTAGTACAAGCTACATACGAATCTTCATACGTGTATTACTAAAAAAGTAACAGTGCTAAGGGTGAGCACTTTAGCCTATTTTAATTATAGATAGTACGATCAGATAGCAAGAGCGAAAGTTCGCCATTTATCAATACAGAGTAAAACTTGGAAAATGAGAATATGCTGTAAACAGTGAATTTAATTAGAAGGCCTACCTTTTATCGTCTAATCCATAGTCGGCTAAATAGAACGTAATGGACAATATAAAACAGAGAAATAAGGCATACTTAATATCGTTTTGATACACTTTACGGTTACCATACTGTTAGTGTATTTATATTGATACGAGTACATTATTAATAAGTTAATCAGTAACCACAAATTCCTAAGGTATTCCATTCTTTTAATATTAAATTGTTTTTACATCAACCTTATATGCAACAACATCCTACATCAGTATGAAAAGCAAGCACCAAGATGACAAGTGAAGTTGAAGTAAAAAAACTTTATCAAGATTTAAAATATTATTTGTAATACGTAAATAACGGATTTTTGTATGAGCCTGGCATTTACTATACACTTATGATAATACAGTCGATGTAACGATACCAAAAATCTCTGCAATTAATAAATAAGTAAAAATAGCTATTATAGAAAAGTATAAATATATAAAAGTAATTTAATAGAAAAAAAGATGATAGTTTTACCATCTCTTTGCGGACTATATCAAAGATTACTAGTAAATTATAAGAGCTATCTCCTAAATTACGCAACAGCTTTCAATCCACAACAATAGAGTGCATAGGTACAGTAATCCGACATTTCATGTGATAATATATTACAACTCTACTTTAATGAATTATTTTAATATAGTTATCCTTACTCATCATTTCGATTATATCTTTCTTTGTTACTTTGAATCCTAGGGCCCTTAAGGCACGCGTTAAATCTCGAGTATCTATACGCCTACAATTAACGTCATCAAATAAAACTATTTTATTAATTTAAATCACTAGAAGACATTTTACGTGATATGCACACTTCTAAAATTACGAATAAACATCAGGATATAAATTTTCGACTCATAATTAAGTTTATTAACTTTCTCTATCTTTTTTGTCTAATTCCTATTTGATAGCTATAGCCAGCAAAGGATTACTATTTGAGAATGAGTATGTCCATACGACACAGAAAACAGCTCTAGTTGACTTAAGATAGTATTGAGCACGATTTCTTGATATTATTGTAATCACAGAAAATTCTTGTACCATAATAAATATAATCCGCCATTTCCAAATAAAACTTATTATTGCATCGATAAAACGATTACATCAATCCTTTCAAGGCTACTTCATCGTAAAATACATTCCAAATTTTTTCCTTCACGTTATGTTCAGAACCGACTTTATAAAACAACTTATGAGTGTAGTACTTTAGAGTAATTAGGTATTATATCATAAAAACTAATTCGTAGCCGTTGCGTTGTTGTCTCATAAAAAAAATACTAAAGATTCTCCTAACAGCTAACACTCAAAGCTATGAGCGCAAGACTACAAAACTAGAGTAATCGAAATAATAATAACGTTAATATTACCTACAGCTACATCAAATTATCATTTTAAAAACTGTGGGCATGTGTACTATTGACTAGACCTAATATATAATAATTTGAATATGATATCCCTTATCATAAATAAGCACAAAAAAACTGTCTCACATAATTTACCTACCCATTATTGGTAACATCAAATGCATCAAAAACAATTTTTAAATCTTGAACATCCTGAGGGGTTAGCTGATCTCTTGCTGGCTGAAAACGCTGCTCTTTTAAATGTCCCAACATACGTTCTTTTGCACTTGATGCCATTATAATTTATATCCTATGTTCTTTATGTTAACTGAAACTAAATGTAATTAAAATTTTGTTACTAACGATACCATCAAGTCAATAATATGTCTTGGTTGTCCTATTTACTTACTATATTTAAGAAAAACATTAAGTACTTCGATTACCAAGATCTATACTAACTTATACAAAATGCTATTCACCTTATATTGATGGCCCAGTGAACTAATATTCAACTAAGATACTCCAAAGGAAATCTACTGTGTTAAAAAAAACTGCGATCACTGCAGTACCATAATCGCAGCGTATAGCTGTTACTATAAAAGTAACAAAGAGATTTTTCGCCTTATTATGTGTACATAATAAAGATCCCTGCAACAAATATTATATGAACATGAATAAATTAGCAAACATTGATGCGTTACTATGGTTTCTGATAGAATAAAATGATAGTATAATTGGAGTATTATCATTACTATAGAATATTATTTCTATTCCTACTATGAGTTCTATAATTACTGTATTGCTACAGTAATTATCCATCATTTGTGCACTAATTATCGGGGTATTACATAGTATCATAGTGAGGAATAGAAATATTTGCTATAATATCCAAGCAGTTTATGTGTTAGACAATGATGACTACGGTATTACTAAAGGCTCATGCAAATGTTTTCTAGTTATCATTTTAGCACGCGATTCTTGACTATAAGTACAAATATACAAGATAATGACAGTTTCTGGTTTCTGTAGTAAACGCAGTATACTATAAATCTAGATCGTAGCATCATACGGATATAAATCTATTCACAATAATAAACTATTGTATCTAAAATCATGAGTAAGTTATTAAAGTGCTGAAGGAGCATCAAGGTACAATAATATGCTATTATTCAAGTGCATGATTTAAGCGCTATTAAAATATACGATTGGAACTGTAAGTAAAATTTCTTTCTAGAATATGTTATTATGCTCACATAAGTATATATACCACAGTATACTTGCAAATTTACGATAATATAGGGAGATTATGCTACTTTAATACTACAGAAATTAGGAAAATTTCAGATTTATTACCTATTATATGCCTCAAAATTGTGGTAAAAATGCCATGTGAATGGCTATTGAACCGTATTTGATCTCTACACTATGTCTATTTCTATATCAGTTATATACCCCATATTTATGCTGAAATTGTGTAAGTTCTTAATAAACTATAAAAAAAATGAAGAATCATTAACATACTAATACGTTATGGGGTATAAGAATAGTTGTAATGAAATGGTAAACAAAAGAATTATAAAGTACTTTAAGAGGGTCTGAATAAAAATACTATTATACACTACTAAAAATTGGTAACATTTCACAGTTGAGATCTGCAGCTGAAGTATCACATCGAAAAGTATACTTTTGAAAAAACTATTCTAATTCACAATTTTCACACTCGTATTTTGTATGCCGTATGTGTGATCGATATATTTATATTTGCGAAGCTAGACTATCTAAATCTATTATAGGTCCATAAATCGAACTAATACGTACACATATAATGGTAATGTAGTCTTCTAGTAAAATGTAAAATATATTGCAAAGGTACAAACCACTGCTTAAATAAATATTATAACCCATGATTTATACGATTGACGTAATCATGCATGTAATAAAACGAAAATTATACAAATAATCTGATTCATTTATTGATAGCATGGGCATTAATTCTATAAAGTAGAAAATAATTACACTTGGTACATGTCTATATCCTCAATAGATGGACTACGTAATATTTGGTAAGTATCCCTTACAACTACATAAATATAAATCATTAAAATTTTACTATAGCAGACTCCAAAATATATCTATAATATTTCACAATAGCTTGAAAGACGAAAACAATTCTACGGTATGATTGACTAATAAATGTTGCCTTAAGATGAATATTACAAACAGATCAAATTTCGAGTATTATATGCGTATTAACAAGAATTCTTTCTTGCAATCAATCAATTTTATTATAAATGAAAATAATGTACATACCTGTAGAGAGAACAGACAGAAAGTGTGTTCTCCTTGAACTCTATATCAGTATCCAAGTATAATATATTTAATCGCACAAACAATACTAGCAGTGGAAGGTGACAATATCAACATTTATCACAATAGGATTCCATGACTGTTGATGCTTGGAATTCAAAGTTAATATCAATAAGCTATTATCAAAGAACATACAACACCGGAAATTTTTTAAATAACAATCATAGCTACAACATTTTATAAATAACACACTACGAACATATTAAGCATTAATCCGTTATTCGTTCATATTACTTCTAACATTTCTTTATTATTTTTAAGGTATATCGAAGAAATCCATTCTCAACTATAAATTCGTTTCTTGCACTGTGTACAGTGTATATGTGCATTTAGATATCATTTTCCGCTCCAAAACTTATAATACTGTACGTACTGTATACAGTAACTTTCTTAAGTACTGATACCTATTCCTTAAGGTGGAAACTTTGGTTATAGTTTACAGACTCTCTCAATAATAAATTTTATGTACAGTGATCATACCAATAGCGTTTCCTTCGTTAATACTCTATTAAAACCTTACTTTACAAAATATAAAAAGTTTCTGTTTAATCTAAGAGTTAGCATCGAAGCTGTAATTACCTTTACTGTAGATTGTTGCCGTAACGTAACAACTATGGCAATTTAAACATTTCTGTATCAAAGCTACATCTTGGTATCACTCTACTTACAGTATAAAAATTTCTTAATTAATTCCTATTATAAGCATAACGTATGTACAACTGAATATGTTAGACTAGTATTGTAAACATCGACATTAATAAATTAAATAATATATTAAGATGAATGATATGATTGGTTTAAACGCTATTTTTAGCAAAGTTGAAACAACATTCTACTATATAAAATTGTTTTTATTGCGGTATTGAACACCAGATAATTGAAACGATGGCTTAATCCAACCTACGGTTGATCAGCAATACGTTCCCAATATTGACTAAAATGCCCCAACATATAATATGGCTTAAAGATGTTGAGTAATACAAAAATCTTATATTAAGACGATGTCAATATCTTAGCATCGTCTTCTTTAAAGTGGAAAAGCACTCATTGAAAATATATTTATCCATATACAAGTTTTAAAAAATAACACCAACTATAAATATACAGTATCTAAAAATTTCATTTAGTTTGCACAGCAGTAGTTGAACTGTATCGGAGAACCCATAATTAAAATATAATTTATCATTTGTTGTTATTTCCGATGTTAAAACTAATAAAGTTATTATTAATAGAGCAGGATTTCGAAAAACAAGTTCATACTAAAGCAGCATGATACAAACTTGGTGTGACAACATATATAGAACCGTTAATTAATTCTTTATTATGCAATTTTTCTCTCCACACAATTCTATATTATTAGTAGCATATGGTCAGATAATCATCAAAGCCTAGAGATCTCCTTTAAAAAGCTAGTTCTACCTTTGTCTGCCATCCGTTAGAATCTTTCAAGACGCAGTATGGCATCAGGTAAGCAGCTACCTTTCTTTGATTTGAATATTTCACGGTAGCTAATATTAACACGATATAGTTATTACGCGAAGGTTTAAATCTGTGACCTTAGCAAATTTGCAGCGTTAAACTAAGGTTAAGATTTAATTAAAATCTTAGGCTGTTACCATAATATCATTAGTACTTAACGGCTACACCATCCACATTGCACAAGCGTGACTCTTTTAATCATAAGAAGGTTCATGAGTCATTTTTCTTATTGAAGTTTCTGTTCTCAGTAAAAGAATATTTTATAATAATCACCGATATCGACATACCTACAGATCGAGATCTTATTTCCATGATTGATACATTTACTTTTTGTAGAAAGCAAGAGTACTTGTTATCATATTTTTGCGGTGTAGCATTATATCATCGATACTTTAAGCTAGAAATTCTGAAAAATAAGTGTGTAATTGAACGCGATTTTAAATTTATTATATTATATAATAATGAACGAGCAGATACAGATAAAGGAGTTTATAAAATGTATTGTAAATTTTTGATGTATAGGAATTTAAACTGCTGTAAAAGTCTTAGAGTTTTCGGTATTGCTTAACCCGGAAACTATAGTAGAAAATAAGATAATAATCATCAATTAGATTGATTTATATGATTTCTAAACCATGTACTAAATATAAAATTGATTTACATAACAGGAAGAAAGGATAAGATCGATATAAATTTAATTCGATGACCGCTCAACTCAGTACTTAATACAGCACATTAGATCAGTTGCGCCTTAAGTATTTTTGCTCTAATAAAGTTCTCTATATTTCTAAACCTGATATCGGAATATTTATGACGAAATAGAACAAGTTGTATATATCATTTTGTCCGTCTCTAACATCAATTACTTTCGTACGCAAACATGACATATAAGAATATAATCAAGTTAGATTACATTTTGATCACCTACAATTGATGTTGTCCTATATGGCTACCACCAAAACTAGTCTATGTTCTTAATTAAATATAATCTACTGGTGATATAAATTTAGTTTTTTATTTCTTAAATTTTTACATGGTGATTTACAAAAGGGTTCTTAAAAGATTCTGTTCTTAGGAACTCTATTTTTTACAATCAACTTATTGTTGGCTTTAATTGCTCTATCTGATAGATTTTCTCATGGAATTTAAACATTTTGGTCGTACTTTTATTAAATTAAACAGTATGATATAGTTGCCAGCAGTATATAAAATTTATATATTGCAATTCTTTAATGAGAAAAATATTTTATGTGCAATGAAGATCCGGACATGCTAGTGTAACACATGCGTTGAAACTATTGCTGCACAATTTATATATAAAAGATCGTATGGTTAAAAATTTCTTAGCAATGGCATTCCAAAGCTGTAACCTGAAAATGATTTACCGATAAATTTTCTTAACTTGAGCATCTTTAGATTTATCATAATCAGACAATAACTTATTTATACTTTATGGAGCTAAGTTAAAGCAAGTTTATTCGAATTCACAATAAGGATCTATTCGGCTAAAAAATTATTACCGCTTCTAAAATTGTACTAGAAAGTGTAGGGTAGAAATCAGCTTATGCTCTTAACATTTCTGCTATCTCTTTGTGTTATTCTCTCTCTTAATGTTGTAGGCTCAGAGTCCGATATCGGCGATAAGATTAGTAAAGCTAGCAAGAAATTTCATGATACATTGAATAGTAATAACCTTGATGAGATAAAATCAATGTATACTTCCGATGCCACTTTAATGCCCCACGGATATGAATCAGTCATAGGCAATGAAGGTAGGAAATTCATGCTTGAGTGAATAAAGTGTGATTTACAGCATCATTTGGTCACAATATTTCACATAATGTTAGACGGTAAAAGTAGTAACCAGTAAAGTTATAATCTCAAGTGTAGTTCTAGGAACTACCACATATTATTACTCTAGTCCTCTTAAATAGTACCGCATATCTCATAATACGCCCCAAATTATGTTCTTTCCTTGGTACCAAACTGCATACACGTATATAATATTTACATACCTTGACCATCCATCCTATTTTAAAAAATCATGTATACCTACTACTGCCTCCTAGTACCTGGTACTACCAACAATGCCACTAATTTTTTAATTTAATTATTATATCAGTCGTAAAGTCGGAATAGGACAGTCCCTAAGATTTATACAACATTTTTTCGTGATTAATATGAATTATAAAATAGTTAAAGAGATCAGCTAATGGCCCGCGATTCATTCGAAATGATAAACGTATGCGAGTAGTATGCGCCGAATAATTAAGGTGGATGCTGTGTAAGATAAAATATATTTTTAATGCCAGATAACTAAATTACTTTAACCATTTGGTATTATCAGCACCCATTCTTGGGCTTTCTTTATTGACACAATTACCTTTAATGAATTTAAAAAGCAATTGCTTCGATAATATCATTAAATGGGTTAAGAAGAATACAATACTGGCCAGTACAAAAGTCATATTTACTTTTGGTTGGAAATGTTTGGTGTAAGCATTAAGGTGTTAAATTTTACACTTTCCTACAGCAATAACAGAATTTTATCGATCATTGAAAAGAGAAGGAGCTACTCATGGTAAAGTATCGATGGTTGAATGGGGTGCAATCGGTCATGATTTATTATTCGAGCGTGGAACGTTCACAGTATATACAAAGGAAGGCGTCCCTATCGATGTTGGAAAGTAAGTATTCTTGTATTCAAGGCTACCTTAAACAAGGCGATTAAAAACGTTGTATTAACTAGAATTGAAATTCTACTTAAGTTATTACATACCGTTGCACTTATTGTGACGATAGTATTTAATTTTAGTATCGGTAATATTACATTTTATTTGGATATGTAACCTTAATCTTAATTATTCACCTGTTAGTATAAATTTGATAAAAGCGATTGTGTCAATAATATCTGCACTACAAATACTACTATAATGGCATTATTATTGCTACTTTTTATCTTCTCACTATTCAATTAATCTTGTTAATGTTGCAATATCTATAAAGGTATGTTACCATATGGAAGGAGATAGATCAAGAATTGAAAGCCTACATCGATATTGCTAATTCCAATTCTAGGAATAGCTCTAACTAATCTTCGACTGCAATACTAATGTTATAAAACAAGTGCAGGATAAAGATTAAAGTTATACTGGATATTTTGGCTTTAAATGTATGAAGTATGATAACTTATAATCATTTTATAATTTATTTATTTTTATTACATTATTCTATTTCAACCTAGGTAGATAGTTTCATTACATTTTAAAGGATAAATCCATCAACTATCCTAACCAGTAGTAAATTTGCATTAAATTTTATATATTAAGGCTTATTTGATGTTAACAGTTAGATTCTTTCACTCTGTATTTGTGAAAGGTGTCAAATTTCAGTCTTTCATACTATAGTGTAATCTATAGCGTGGTATCATTATAATAAATAGATTTTCGACAATATAATTGTAGTTTATTTCGTCCGTAGCTGCGCGAAATATAGCGCGTATTGATGGTGTATCAGCACAAATGGAATACTAAGATCAGCTCAGCAGAGGGATCGACATCAGGAATGTTGTCGTTAATGCTTTAATAATTTAATTATTACCTCTAGTGGGATATGATGCTTATCCGATAATCCCTAGTGCTATAGTAGTACGTGATGTTATCAACACATAATTAATTAGAAGGAGATTAGAAAGTTATGACGGACACTGCTGATATGATTGCTGTCCGTAACTAAAGTTTGGTGTTTCATGTTTTCATATGTCATGGGAATAAACTGCTATTCCATTTCATCGAATGTATTTACTATACGAGTCTGTCGCACCGGTACCGTCTTAGCCATCTGTTACAGTAACTGGAACTCATGGACAACAAGAAAAAAGTCCATGTCTAACCTAATCCTTCCTTAAATATATAGTCGTTGTTATTAGTTTTATTCGATTTGTTCCTTACCATCATTATATAATAATGTTGTAAAATCAGCTCTACGCGTAATAGCCCTAAATTTGAGGTCAAAGAAACTGCAAAGTAGGGTCTAACGTAGAACAGCAATGGAAATAAATCAGAACAAGAACGTTCATATACGCGCCTACAATTTGATATTTTTTCTACTCTTCTTGCAAACATGATAAAGGAATATTTACGTACTATAGTATTGCTGTAACTAGAATTTGCTACGGATTTGGACTTTTTTTTTTTAGCAGATTTGGGCTTAAATTAGCTAGGCAGTAAAATGGATCACGAATTCACAATTCAAAACTAGCAAATCTATCATTTCCATAGTTTGCTACTGGATAAAATGGTGTTCACTACACATCACATAGTATACAGTCATAGTATGACAAGCACGTACTGCATTATTTTTAAACGTCGATTAGATCCAATTACTGTAGAAGCCGCTACAGTAAGAGCAATAGAATCAGTAGCAATCCAAAACATAGCTTTCGAAGATGTTGTACTATCGCTATAATTTATTCCAAACCTAACATTGGTCGAACTATGCTCTTCCAATTTAGTACGTTAGTAGCGATCAGTTAATATGCGCTGGTATCGAGATGTTGTTAAACTAGAAAATCTTCTAGTTACAGTATATTATTACGACACCTTATTTCAGATTGCAGTTAATACTTATTATTACCACGATAATTAATATTTATTTGTATTATGGCAAATATTATTAATTTCAAGATTATATAGCCGCTATTTCTGGATGCCGATTTAATTGAATTGAATTGATTGCATTGCGCCATCTAGATTGTACAATATGTACGCATGTAGAATGGTCACACTCGGAGTACAGTAGTTGATGGAGTAGTTTAGAACTCTAAAGTACCATACTAGCACAATCTTGGTGCAGTGAACAGCTAGCGAGGGTCTTATCTGCTCTAACAGTGGGGCATAAACTAGTTTTAATTTGATTTTAGATTTTTGTTCATTAATTAATTTTCAAATTTGCTTTATAACTTGTTATGTCGTCTACCATCAAGCGCCAGTTTATGCTACAAGATGCTGTTTACTGATAGAGATTGGTACTGTATCCAGCATGCTAAGTCCGTCCGTCAGCACGTATGAGGCTTGCGTTCCACTTTTACGGTACTGTACACTCAGTGTACAGTACACTACAGTATGGTACAGTACAATGCCTTTGCATTGTACTGTACCCAAAAATGATATCACCCATTAAGTCATAAATCACGTGTTAGCGCCCAGTAACTCATCGTTCATCCTCATTGGCAATCATTTGGATGGGATGACAGCCATTTTACACGCCACAACATACTATACAGTACTGTATACTGTAGCATTGTACTGTACTCCATGGACTAAAATACCGGTATTTCTAGTGGACCAGCTGGACCGTTTAGGTCCGAGTTATGGCGCTAGAAGAACAACACAAACAGGGCATGCTCACAAAAGTACGGAAGCGCTTATAGTGAACGAGGCAATCAACATTGAAGTCCGTCCACTGCTGCGTCCGCGCCATTCTCAGAATCTTCTTCGCTCTGTGTTGCTTTTTACTTGGAAATCAACTTCAAGCAAGTCAAAATTGCAAAAGAAATCCATTGCACATTGAAATCGTCTAGGTTCCAATTAAATTCTTACTCTAACTATCCCATTTGAATATTCTATAGCAGTTTATCACTTTAACGTGCTTTAAGATAGTCTGTATTATAGAGAGAGAGACCTATACTGTACAGTACATTATTAGCCCAGTGTCCAACAAGGTCGATATAGCCATTCTTTTCAACAGTAATGTCATCCTATCGGAGCAATGAGTTATTCGGGCCAACTTCCCGGCCATGCGGTGATAAATTTTTAGAAAATTTAAAAAGTTTTCACAAGTCTATCGGGTAAGTTGATATGCTTCTTCACGATATAACTAAACAAACATTCAAATACAGCTAAAAATGACCGATATAGCAAATTGCAAATAGTCTTCTACATTGACGATGCCAGCGGCTGAAGAATCCAATGGACAATTAAAATTTAAAAAATTTTTAAATGACATTGCATCTTAATCATGACTGTGTTATATACTATTAGATCACCATTTATTGATAAAGCAGTGTTTGCCGGTAAAGAGGTTGATCTAGCTGCATTGTATCGTAAAGTAACTTCATGTGGTGGTTGCGCTCAGGTATTCCTAGTTTAGCTATGCAATTATTTTTTTCTACATTCCTCTCAGCTAGAAGAGCGGGTTCGATATCGTATCATTAATGAATCTATAATAATAGGTAACTAGCCAAAGAAAATGGACAGAAATTGCTGAAGCTTTGAAGTTGCCTGCTGATGGATGCGTTAATAGTTCGTATGCTCTACGTCAATTCTACTTAAGGTACTATAATAAATAGTAATGGCGTAAGATAACTTTGATCCAATGAGCTGGTCAATATATTTATCTATTGGATATGCTTGCAGTTTGCTGTCTTGAAATTGTCTTGACTTGTGTCCAAAAACTTTGCTCTACGAGATACAACTTCATGATAGTTGTCTTCTTCAGGTCTAAAATCATTTGCAATACAATACAACCGATGAACGTCTGCATTAGGACTATCTATAAAATAGCGCACTTATAATTTATATCATCTATACTCTGAAAATTCTCGACCAATCTTCTTTATTTTTCCTCATGGGTGTCCTTCATCTCGATTGATTGATTCCCTTCGTACAGTAGACTGTTAATGGTTGCTTGAATGATATCCTAATGTTTTCCACACTGTCTTTTTCAATTTACTTCCAATACTAACAGTATCTTCTAGCTGACTGCAATACATCGTACGTGCATAATATTGATCATTAAATAATACAGTAGGTTACCTGTACGGCATAGATTTGGACTGAAAACTTACGCCAGCTAGAACCAATTATAAGCATTCAAGGATTAAAGCAAAGCGTATCCATTTCGTCTTTTAGTCTGATCTATTGCTTTCACTTGTTACGCCTATAATCCTTTGATAGCAGTGATTGAACGATCTATTGCGCTATGCAAATGTCTTCAAATTTGTGCAGCAATCAAATCAATACAGTGCATCGATAGACATAAACTGAATAATTTATAAAAAATTTCCTAGATAATGTAATATGACGGCAAATTTTACAATACTGTATACGATTTATGTTATGTCTATGCTCAACGCCGAAAGTTACGTCGTTTGTTGCTAGTTCCATACCAAAGTCCTGCAATTTTAGCAATAATAATTACCAGATTTTAGTGTCAGGGATATTTACAATTGAGCACAAGTAAGCACAATACAGCAGTACCGTTATTGAAGCCCAATAGAATAAATCGCAAATTAGTGCAAAGTAACACATAGTGTAATAATAAGAAAAAGAAAGATAATAATTACGCGTAATAATTATTACATCTGGAAGAATCAAGCTTTTACTATACTACTGTTAATCATACTATATGCCGGGATAAGGATTTAAAATCACCTACTAAACTGCAGTATACAGTCTGTACCATATACAGTACAATACTATATTATCTGTTCTGGATCGATCGCTGTACGAAATAAATCGAAGGTAATTAACGCATAGTACATGTAGTACAGTACTTTACTTACTATCCTGAATAGTACGACAAAATAAAGAAATAAATCTATATTAACATACAATGGCACCCAAGATAAATTAGCAGTTTGAATCAAAAGGAAATAAAAACTATTTAGATGAAAACGTTTAATTAATCTTGATTTCGTGCATTTAAAATTGTAATGAAAGTTGAATATTAAACTTAAAAGAAGCTTACACCACATGATATGATTCTCATACTGCACTGCCGACTTGCCCTGAAGCTCAACAATAAAGTGATCACATTTTCATTTTGTTGATGTATCTTGTTATTCACCTTGTAGTATTTTCGATACTAAACTTGAAACTACCAGGATTTCACTTGTTAATAGTCATCTTTCTACAATTTTATACCAAGGTATTTTAAAATTTACGAGAAAACCAATTTTTTCAATGAAGACCTTGAAGATATTATTTCTTCAGGTCGACTTAAGATCAATCACGCGACAGGTATCTTGACTTACTCTTTATTAACTAATCTTTTTAACGTTACCTAATCAATATCTCTTATGTAATATCTTTATATTATTGAACATTGATAATCAAACCTCATGAGGAATTACATACATCATTAAATTATAATGATGGAATCGATGATGTTTCTACGATACATTTATATTACTCGATGTGAAAGTCAATAAATAGCAACCGTATCGATAGCTATAGCTCTTGTTCTTTATTTTTTACTACATGATCACCGAGAGAATGATTATATTGTTAGCTTTGCATAATAGTAATAGTATCTTGTAGTATCTATTATTTTCGGGTGTGATTATTATTGCTAACTTTTTCCTTATTTGTCCTTATTTCTCTAATATTAGCCTACGACAGAATGGCAAGTGCTTCAATAGAAGGTTAGTAACGTTAATATGGATAATTAATAAACGTAAATATTTGAACCCTTAAGATTTTTATAATAAATGCTCTAATAGAAAGATACCCAATGTTGCTTTGTCCATGATTATAATCTATGGATAACAGCGACAGTTTAAGATTTTAAAATACCTTCGGTTGCCTATTAACCGTTAGCTGATGCTATATGCAATATAATTACAATAGAAAACTTATTAACCTTAGATTGTATGAGCTCTGTAATGATAAACCTGACTATTAAATTTAAATTAATTTTTATAAGCATTTGACAATTGCGCAAATATATACAATATATAAGTAATTTGCTTTTGATAATATTTACTTGAGTAGGTGGCATTAGAACATCGGACACATTGATGTTAGCTCTAGAGTCGGGTTTACCGAATGAAGTCGAATTTGCCTTACATATCTTAATTGAAATGTCTTATGACACTAATAAGCCGTTCCTAATTGTAAAGGTTATACACCTAGTATAGTGATACTAAAACTGGCCATTGCAATATTTTTACACCTACTCATTACGCTATTCTATGTGTAGATGCCATGTTTTATTCGTAGACTCTTAGCTATAGTGGGATTATTCGAACAAGGTATATTGATTTTAGTTGATATTATGAATTTCTAAATTACGATATGGCAAGAACGCGTAAATCTTGTGTTATTTACTCTTTATTTATAATTGTCCAAAGATTACGCAAAGCATATTAGTAATGATAGAAGTATTTTAAACGTCCCTGAAATAAATTTCGTGAAGGTAAGAATTTAAATTTTCTTGAAACAATTGTAATCTGCCATACTGTATCTGCTAATGAATTTTATTACGGAATGGGGTAGTTCTGATGAGTTGGTTTAATTGTAATTCCTTTTTTTCTCAGTTTTGGGAAAGCTGTGTGAAAGATAATGAAATTAAGAGATTGATTTATGGACCATTTCCTGGTAGATGATGATTAAAATATGTCACAATTTCTGTGTTATGACACTTTAATTGATCTTGCGTTACAAATTAGACCATCGGAATATTGATGATAATTCCAAAGAAGAAAATAACGATGATAACTTGTTCGATCATTATCCGGGGAAGTTGTCGAGGCTAGCAATTGATAGACTTGAAAGGGTATGATGTACTGATTTCCGATTTTTAGTAGGCTGATGTAATATCTTAATACTTAATTATTAGTAATGAGTGATCTGTACTAAGACAGTTCGTCTTTCAATAGGTTGCGGTAATAGTCCTTAATTTATCGTTTATAAAATCCAATGCAGTTGTTTTGTCAAATACTGATGTATGCCTAAGGTACTTATAATTTTGAACCATTTGGTAAGATTTGTTTAATGCTACAAATATAAACTAACTTGGCTTTTATAATCCATTTTATAAAAGATTCCTGTTACTATGCATGTGTAGTAATATTTCATCACTAAGAAGTAACGCTTTAGAAACGCTAAGCAACTTATCTCCGGAGGTAAAATGAAATTCTGATGATCTGGTCGCTTGTTATCAGGAGAATTTGATACGTGAATCAAACCGTGATAATTTTATGTTCATGCTTAGATATCGCTGGAATCACCGACTAATTATCGAACTCAAATCTTATTAAAATATGTTTGGAGACTTATAAAATCGATCGATAAGCAAGATATTCTGAAAGGTATTTAATTACTAATTGTTTAGTTGTCAGGGTATTAAACTGCGGTAGTCTTAAACAAACATTTTGTAATGACGAACGGGTATGACCGCTACGTTTTTAGCAGTATCATCACAATACTACATTTCGATATCTTGATTTTGTAGTGCCTTGCAAATAGATACATATATATACATATCACCGATTGATTTTCTTTCAGGAATGGAAATAACTGCAGGCTTATGTGAGAATATTGATCATAGTGAAGTTATATCTAATGTCACCGATTCAAGTATTTATAGTGTAGTTATTAATTATTTAACAGTTCCTGATGTTCAGGTGAGAAGGATGTCAGTATTTACTCTTTAAATTTTGAGCACTTAATTCTTAGGATTTACATTTGGCTTATAAGTTTTAATGGATTGAATTTGTGCTTTTTTTTATCTCAGCTTCTCATTACTAGCTTAGATGTTCTTTGTGCCTTAACTGGATTAGGAGAAGCTACATGCTGTCAAGTGTTAGCAGTTAATCACTCCATTGGTTAGTCGTCTTGAGTTATTATTGTTACGTTACTAATTTCGAATATTGTACTGTGTTATTTAAAAGTATTGGTGATAGACGCATAGCATGTAATGTCATACCAGTGATGAAAATGCCTAAAAATATCTTTATCATCAGTCAACTATCAATTATCATTATTTGTAGATTTATTGGTCAGTCTGGTAAGCCTTGATGTTCACAAATTCGGCGAAGAGGCCATGGCTGGTATTTTTCTTTTCGATAAAAGATCGCAGATTAGCGCCTCCACAATTGCACAAGCGCAGCCACCTCAGGTGTCAAGTAATAATATGGCGGATATAGCAGCTATTATTAGCCCTGTAGTATCTCGATCAGCCGAGGAAATGTCAAGAATAGATCGAGAAAACGAAAATTTTGCACATGCATGGTCTGTATTGGCTTCTGTACCCATCAAAATTATATTGAAAACCTTTAAATAATACTAATATTTCCTTGTAGGTTAAATGCAACTTACGATTGTTGTACCGGTGGATATGTACCACGGAGTGGTATGTACTCCGATTACTTGGCTACCTGCAATAGACTTAGTATCACTGGTATCGTTAATTCAACGACATTTAGTCGCTTAATACACGAAGTATTTCCATCTGCGGAAATTAAGCGTGTTACCTATGGTAACACAAATCAATATTTTTATACTGGTGTTCGGAAAAGGGCTCGACCGTTGCCATTTACTTATACTCCTGGTAATTACTACGCTTAAGCTTTATTCACAATGTATGTTGGTTATTATTTTTCTCATTCATATGATTATTCCATTAATAGGACATTCCAATGTTAATCGAACGCCAACATTACCTGTAATGAATAGTGTTGCTCGGACATCTACTGTTGTCGGTACTGTTCAGGGACGTCAAATGCCTTACATGACTCCCACTGTGCAACCTTACAGTGGAAGTATGGGTAATATAACTGCTAATTTACAAAGAATAGACACTAGTACTCAAGGTGGAAGTATGGGAAATGTAACTGCTAATTTACAAAGAATAGACACTAGTACTCAAGGTGGTGGTATGGGTAATATAACTGCTAATTTACAAAGAATCGACACTAGTACTCAAGGACCGCAGTTCTCTATCGATTCGCAAAAACAAAATTCTCAGTTAGGCGCTATCCGACTACCTAGTCAAATGTTGAAAAAAACTACTCAATTTGTTCAAATGCCGTTGGCGAACCCTAATATTCGTAATAAAGGGTTGTCTTCTGGAAGCAATTATGCATCAACTGGACCAACTACTTTAAGACAAGAAAATTTTGGTAGTAGTAACAAAGTTGTCGCTTCTCTATCTTGTGACTCCACGCCTAGTTCTATGACTAGTAAAGATTCTGCCGCAACAACAGCTGATAGCGTCGCAACAGTACACGCAAGTTTAGGTAGTAACCAGCCTGCTTCTACTAGTCTTTCGACTTCTTCCGTTAAAGTACAAATTTTATCTGATTGCTCTTTTCGATTTCTGCATCCTTCAGGCGTAAGTAATAACGGTAGCAAAGACGACGATAATACTAACGGAACAACCAGCGAAAGCGGTTCCAAGAATTGCAACATTACAGAGAAAGCAAGCATTAATTTACCAAAAGTTATTGGTAACTTACAGAATGGTGCAACCTTACAATTTCGCAAGGATATAACTTCTACGCATGATATATCTATTTCCAAGGATTGTAACAAAGGATTTAATCAGAGATTTGAAAATTCTGAATTGCAAGGGTTGAATAATAATAGTAATGGAGAGAAATCGGTTGAATTAATAACATCATTAAAGAGAAAATCATCAATAAGTCAAATAGATAATAAAGTTAATGGACAACTAAGTGTTGATTTGACGTTATCGACTGATAATCATGAACAGTTACCGAATGCTGGCATTACCAGTTCTAGCACGACGACAATTAAACCTACACAGGCATACCCTCAAGTTAGCCAAGCGAACGGTAATTGCTTGAATAAATTAGACACTACTGAAGAAGATACTGCAGCTACTGGTACTTCTAAACAACAGACGGAAAATGCAACGTACCTTTGCAAATGGAACGATTGCCAACGGTACGTTACATACAGTAACTGCATATGCGCTTTACATACATTGTTTATCTAGCAAAAGAGTATTCAAGTATGGTTATTCTGTATCGTAGAATTTAGATATCGATGTGTTGATCATTCTTTTATCTCTATAGGCATTATGAGAACGTGAAGGATCTAGCTAGTCATGTTTATAATGTGCATGCTAATAATTCTCAAGGATTTTGTGGATGGGAAGGTTGTTTAAATGACACTACAAAACGTGTCAAAAGAGCTCGATTCTCTATGATATTTCATCTACAGGTTAATTTATACTCGTAACCTATTTTAAGTAAATTATGAAGTTGAAAAATATTTATTTTTCGATTTACGGTGTCGCTTTTAGAAGCACATAAAAAATTATGGTGAAATATCAAATGAAAAAATTACTAGGAAATCGTATGTACCTCAAGCAAAGATTCCACTCACAGTACGCGGTTTATAACTTTGATTTCTATTTCATTAAATGGTGTATCAACGTTTTGAACTTATTTCTTCTTTGTACAAAGGTGGAAAATGAACTTCCGTTAACAAAATGCGTTCGGTTAACAGCCGCATTAACGTTACGCAATTTGGTTAAATTTACTCACGAAGCTAAAACGTATGTAGTATCAAAAGCTACAGCTATTGATATCAAAATTGATGAAAAAACTTTTGTTTGCCAAGGAATTGATTTTGAGCTTTTTCTGTCAGTCTTCTTAGGCGGTACGAGCAACATTTGGCATCTTTGGCCTTTGATAACCTGGAAGCATCTTCGGCGCTCGCGTATTGTTTATTTGAATTAAGTAAAATTCCTATCGATAGCAACCGTTAGATTATTTGATCGGTAAACGTATTTAATTTTGATATTAATATTTTTTCCTTATCCTAAGTTAAGGAATGATACTGTATTATGTCGAAAAAATTGTAAACTACAATATGGCTGTATAGCAAGATCGACTAGTGTACTGGTGTGTTATATGCAGTACTTATGTGCCTTGTACGTTATATCGCTTCGTCACTTGATCGCATCTGCTTATATTTTTATAGCATATTTTGCCTTTGTTATTCTATATCTGCACACCAATATCTGTTCAATTCTAGTATAGGAAAATCCTGGTAGGTCAAATAGGATGATAATGTATTCGAGTTGGAAATTGCAGTTGGCCTTGATATTTTTCTCTATGAGTTCATATTAATTACAGAAATGTGATTCTAAAATGTTCAATTACTTGCGCGTTCAACTATATTTCTATTTTTATATTATTGTTATAGTCAACATTGTATTTGTTCCATCAATATTTGTTTACTGTACTATACATGACTTTAGGATGATCTGTTACTACCAATGTATTTGTAGTGTAGATTTATTGCCAATAGAGTGATAATGTACTGGTACCTTTGTAATAAACATAAAGTTGATGCACACCTAACGAGCATCCAAAAATCGAAACGATTTGTCGTCGTATGCGATACTATTACCCGGCTGTATTTGTATAATTGTTTCATGTCACTTTTGGTTAATAAAGATCACTATTCATTTGTTCAAACCATCGCCATTGAACTATTTAAGTATTAGTAAGAATTTATAGCCAAGATAGTAAAATGATTTGATCATGATACGCGTGTAAGTACGCGTGTCCTGTTTATCTACCGGGTTGAACACCCGCAGTATCATAAGGACATCTTGCTGGTAGTCCGTAGAGCAGATTGAGACACACCTATTGTATAGTAATCTACTGTCAGGAATTTCAAACAATTTATAGCATCACTGCAAGGAAAGTAGGAAATAATACACGTTTGGTACAGAAACATTCATTACTAACATAAATTGACTCCTCCTGCAGGTATAGCAATGCAATGCAATGCAAGCGTGTATTATTGGTCATGAAAGTTTTATCTAAAGACGTATAAATAAAGTAAATCAACTGGCTCAGTGTATGCTGTAGTATCAATCTATCCATTCAATTGGAAGGTGTATATTATTTTTTTCGATTATGTAGGGACTGAGCGTAATTCCGAAATAGCAGTGGATACGAATTGATCAATCATGGTGTGGAACAAGTTGCTGCTGACAGCTGTTGTCACATGACAGCTGGATACAGTACTGTACTGTAGTTCTATCAGGCTGAGAGACTTTCATGGGCGTTGGAGTGAATTTACTGAGTAGCTTGTTCTGTATGATACAGTCATACTGTACTGTAGACTCAGTTTACAGTGCTGTATAGTAGTAACTTCATCAGAATTTTGAATCGGGCCAAATTTTCGTCCAATCTACAGTACAGTAGCACACTGTTCTGCTACTAGCCAAATTTTTTCGTCCAATCTACAGTAGCACACTGTTCTACTACTAGTCCTACTGCAAGGATTAGTCGTCGGACGCTGGCATGTGCTGGTATTTACAGTACATTGTACAGTACCATACAGTACATTATCCTGTATGGGCACGTGTCAGTGACGTCACTTCTGCTAGCCACTGGCACTGCAAGCTGGTTGGTAGTCCTGAACAATCCTACTTAGCGTATCGCAGAAGCCTTGGCATACAGTATACAGTACTGTACAGTGGCTGTACAGTACAGTACAGTACAGTGGCTGTACAGTACAGTACAGTACAGTACAGTACTGTGTCACGGCACTCAGTACTCTACTGTATCCACTGTACCCCAAATACAATTGAACTTCACGTGACATGCGCAGTGTACAGTACGGTATTCCAAGTTTTACGCGTAACCGTACAGTACAGTACAGTATAGTATTGTGTACTACTGTACAGTACAGTATGTCACGGCACTTGGTACTCTACTGTATCTACTGTAGTGTACAGTACCCCAAATACAATTGATCTTCAAGTGACATGCGCAATGTACAGTACAGTATTCCAAGTTTTACTCATGACCGTACAGTACTGAGCCACGGCACTAAGTACTCTACTCTAGCCCAAATACAATTTATCTTCACGTGACATGCGCTTGATGTTTCCTTTCGCCAAACCCGAGACGTTGATTCATAGCTGATTCCTACTGCCTCCAAACTCGGCAGTCGCCATAGCGGAGTAATCAAGATTTTATTCAGAACAGATTGCCAGCTGTAAACCAACTAAATCCTATCAAAATGGCTTTATCAGATACAGAAGTCCAAAAGCAGGTAATGTTGCCACAGTGATTCGCGTAGTACCGCATCCAGTTGAGGATAAATGAAATTTTGTTCAAGCCATTTATATTGAGCTAACCACTTTCATGTCAATATGGCGTCACCCTAGATCCACCATATGATGGCCTTCATCGAGCAAGAAGCCAAAGAAAAAGCGGATGAAATCGATGCTAAGGTGATTATAAAATCCTAGATTCAGGCTTAAATACAAAAAAATGAATTCTTCCATCTTTGGCAATAGCACCTTCAATAAAATGTTGTTATTTGCGATAGGCCGAGGAAGAATTTAACATTGAAAAAAGCAGATTGGTACAGCAGGAAAAGTTAAAAATTTTAGGCTTTTATGAAAAGAAGGAGAAACAGATTGAACTTCAGCGTAAAATGTAATTATAATCTTTCTCAACGGATGACAGTAACTTGAGGCGATTAAATAATATCGTAAATGCTTATTCGTACTGTATACTCGTATGTACGGTAGGATTATGCCTCCCTTCAGTGATTGACGTACACCGTGCAATAATAACTGCCAGTGATATCTTGCTACATCACTTTGATAGCGTAACTCAACATACATTTCTATCAATCACAGACAACACTCCAATATGTTGAATCAGTCGCGTTTAGCCATTCTTAAAGAAAGGGAAAACCTTATTAAGGTATGTACTTCCTATATGGATTATCATGAAACGATCCAATCGTGGGATTGCAGATATTAACAGGACTGGACTGTAGAAAAGACATCAATACCAATGTTGAATGGAACAGAGATAGATCGATTCATCAACCTCAAAGCGTACTTTTCTATTTTAAGGCTATAATGGAGGATACAAGAGTCAAACTTGGAGCAGCTACTAAGGATCAAGAGAAATATAAGGGTTTACTACAAGGTTTAATTACACAGGTAAATTGTTCATTTATTGAAACTGCCACATGGAACTGATCGTAAACTAAATATCTACGTTAATCAATCTTTCCTACTATCAGGGCCTATTTCAATTATTAGAGAAAACAGTCATAGTTCGTTGTCGTCAAGCCGACTTGAAACTGATTAAGGTATGACTTATTCATAGCGTTAAGTTGATGACTTAGCTTGATCAAGCCTTCCAAGATCATCGATGCATTTCTAGCAAATCGATCGCAGTTTCTAAACTCTTGATGTCAAGACTATGTACTAAATATTTTAACTTTTCAAATTATAGGAAGTCATCGGAGATGCAGTTAAAGATTATAAGAACGCTTCCAAAAGGGACATTGTTGTCAATGTTGACATTAAAGAATTTCTTGGATCGGAAATGTAAATATAACAAGTAGCATTAATTTCGATATCCATGAATATTACTCCAAGTAAAATCTCTTCTATTTCCATTGCGTTTGCTGTAATTTTATGTTCCTAACGATAATGTATGAATTGGTCAATGCATATATTAATTATTTACCCTTGGTTAATATCCGTCATTGACATAATTTACTGTATTCGTATATTCTAGCTCTGGAGGTGTTGAATTGCTCACACCGTCTGGAAATATTAAAATTTCCAATACATTGGAAAGCCGCCTTGAATCCCTTTATCGTCAAATGTTACCGGAAATCAGAACAACTCTCTTTGGTGCCAATGAAGGCAGGAGATTCACAGATTAAGATTTGGCTACCGTCAGTCTTTTATAGGCTAGTTGCTCTTATGGGATGTTACTATAGCAGCTTATTTCATACGCATATGTATTGGTTGCTAATATTTTAAGGTGTTTTTTATGTAACTGACTATAACAGTATGTTGAAAATGCTTCTAATACACCTAAAGTTATTAGTTATTAGATACGTAGAGAAATTTCAGAATGTTCGTAGTTTTTAAAAGATATAAGTAATTTTTAATAGATGTATAACCTTGATGTCTTAACTTATTATTCATTGTGATGATGAAAGTAAATTGGCTATTGATATATTTAAAGTAAGCAATTTGGTTGTTGAAACCATAAAAGAATTAAGCCTTACCGATAATTCAACTCGACATCGTTGAAAAAGCTGTACTATAATATAACGTTACCGCAAAAGTAATAAAAAAATCGTAATCATTCGCAAAGTTTGTATGAAAATTTGCTTCGTGTACTAAATATGTACTCATATAAATCGACAGATTAGAATTTTTTTATTATTGTAATATATTGCAACTGTGTAAAGAAGTTTCTTGCAATTTTTGCCTAGCAAGTCCTTATAAATGGGCTTCACTAGTTATATACTGACACATGTTAAAGATTGCCAAAGTTACTATCTTCAGAAGGTATCTACATCCATAAGTGAAATGAAAATAGACTAATTATACTAACAAATACAGGGGAATTGCATTGCATTACCTAAATTACTAACAATGTGACACTCATTATCACTAGAATACACGGTCCATATTCGCATCCAAATAAATCAGATTGTGTAAACAATTGGTATAATTTAAACTTATTTTTTAAAATCACATGCACATTCCGCATTTGAGCCGTGGCGATCTATATGCAGTAGTACTGCTATATACAAAGTATTCCCATTCAATTATGCTCGGTAAGGTTATAATAATTGTTATATTTATACATAGTCCTTAGGCATTTACAATATATGTTAAATATTAAAAGAAATTAATAAACAGTATCATCTCAGCTAATGGCACATATTATGGTATACAATGCAGCATCGAAAGTGGCAAGACCACACTTAATAAGACGCAATACGTATTTTAAAGAATTCTCCCTTAGTTGTTTCTATAATGTTAAAGCCTTAAACCTTGCAATTATACGTAAGTCCTATGTTACATTAAAACAACCTTACTCACGAATCTCGTTACGAGAATCTATATCATATATTATTCTGAAAATGGACTATCAAAAATAATTGTCGTTAAATATGAAGCAGTTGTATCATTATTCTTTCAGAGTTGAAAAAAATGTAGTGATTACCACCTAGAGAGTAGATTCATACCTAAAATTTAAATAGTAAGAGAATCAAGATAGCTTAACTTTTAATTTAATTAATTTTTAGATTAGAATGAATGTCAATTATACATGAAGACATTGCAATAATGATCACAAAGTCATCATGAACGTACTGCCATATGATATGCTAAATCATTAAAGCTGGCAATTGTTGTATTTAATCTGTGGCAAATCTCTAACGTTATTTGCTATGAAAATTTAGTAATTTCTTATCTGTACTTACAATCGCATTAAATGCTACACGTACCTCTGAAAGGTTAGCACAGCTATGATGCTAAAGACTGCTTCAATAGCGATAAATGCTAATTGAATACCACATGTTATTAACTCTGCACGTAAAACATATGTTTGCCACAATAGTAGGAATAGGAGACAGAACGTAATAGGAATCGATAGGCCTATCGATACTAGTAAGTTAATCTTTCGTTCGGTAAGATTGCCTTTCTGACCTAAATTGGGTTCCATTAATGATGCATGATTTACTAAATTATCAATAATATTATCTAGAATGTTTCCATTATTGTAAATGTACACATTTCAAGTAACTCTAGCTAAATAGAATCAATTAAAATATAGTCATGCATATCATATTGGCTAATGACTAATATCATACTAATATCATGATATTCCTAAAAGAAATGTTTATTTAAGTATCTTAGATACTGATCATGGAGATAAGATAGCAACGTGCCAATGTGCATTTGCATACCGAGAAAAATTCGAGTACTTTCCACTGCCGCCATTAAGAAAAGTAAGATTAATTCTGCTGTTAGATTTCCTGCTGGATAAGGCAATACAGAGCCTATCGACAATGAAGTAATTAGTTATACTCATGTAATAATTAAGCAAAACTTGTCTAGCAGCTAGTAAAATATGTATGTCCATTCATAATTAATCAAAAATGAAATAATTTTTCTACCTTTGTAGATATACATTAGTAATTCTACAATCCAAAAGAAACCGAAATACCATAAATTTAAGTACAATAGAATTTGCAGTGGTAGCGATGATAGCTGAGAAAAATATTAAGGATGAGTAGCTAACAGCAATTTATATATTACATTGATCTTCTTAGCATTAAATTGTCTCTAAATTTAAGACTGGACTTGTACGATATAACAACAACGACCGCATATCGGTATAGAAGTTGATTTCGTCGTACTAGAATGGTTTCATATAAACACATACCGCTAAAGGGTTAGTTTTAGATCTGAAATTTTATAAGATAGATCATTGCTGTTATTAGCGGTAAGTTATAGTTATGAAATAGTACTTTATCTATATGAAAATTATGAAAACAATTTAAGTAGTATTTTATTTATCTGATTTTATAATCTATTACGGGTGGTGCATGCGCGAATTAACGATGCTAGTGAAAACGTAATTGAAAGGAATATTGAAAAGTTCATTGACTGGAACTTATGGTTTTTCCAGTACATATATCAGTTAAAGTTACAATTTCTTCAGAAATCGCAAATAAGACGACTAAGGTGGCTTAAATCCATATAAATCTGACTTTACTAACCATTGTGAGCAGTGCACGCGTATTGATCATGTTAGTGATACCGTATTTGACAAATGTTGGAAAGATTACTGATTAGAACATACAGTATGTCCGATTATATATAAATTGCATTAAATTGTACGAACTAAAGCTCTTCTTAATCAAAAAAAATTGTGGATACGCTAATATTTGTTTTCCCTAAAAGTAAACGTAGGAATATTTCACATTAATAACGCAATTTTTCAAAATTATTTAATAAGAATAAGCAAGAAGAAATAAATAGGATGGAAATACCTTGACTAGACGTTGTTGCCATAATTGAAGTTAAAATTATTCGATGTCAAAATCTTTACGATGGTGTTTACTTCTACTTTTGAATGTACTTGTACCAACGTTTTGAGAATCAATCCCTTCTTAGAAATGCAGAAGTATCAATTGGAAGGACTATAATGAGTTGTGAAAGATAATTTACTAGCTGTATCAATAGTTTTATAATCTTTGAACTAGTTATTTATGAGCTTGTTAGTACTCTATAGCTAGTAGAAAAGTTTCAAATTGTATACTTCAAAATGGAAATAAGAGCTACAAAAAATAGCGTATATCTTCAAGCACTTATTTTAAAGACTAGCTATACGGTGATTATAGAAAGTAACTGTCACATTATGACTTGAAATAATATACTTAACGGTATGCAACACAGACGCGCGGACACGCAGACAGGGTTTTAAAGCTTATCACTAACTAGGACTGCTACCGCGTAACTTGTAAAATCTATATAGTAAGCTGTATTGTTCTACCTAATGATGCATTTTATTATTTCAATTCATCAAAAGTCTGAATATTATTTGCTCTTTATTCTGCAGTGTTAGTCAGAATCACCAGTATTTCCCAACCAGGTTAATAAGGTTGCAGTAGTCAGAATATACTATTGTGTGGTGATTAAACGTGTATTCCACCAGATGATGTGATCACACGTGTTATAATTGTGATTATATATATATGTATAATATAGTCTAATCATATAATGTATCAATTGATCATATCAATGAAATCAACTTATTTTCTTATATTAAATGTATTCTTGATTAATATCGAAACGATCTCATATCTTAGATCGTCTATGACTTCATCAATTTCAGATCATGAAAAATTGTTTTCAAGTAGAAAGTTTTTGGTCGAAGTACTACATCTTTATCTCACTAAAATAATAAAGGTCTGCTTTTTTATACACGTCAAGTAAAACTGAAGACTTTTTAAATACGAGAATTAAACCCTTTACTGAATCAATTGTCGTATTAATTGCTCTGATAAATCACTTGCAATCTTCTTGGATCACCTTTATTTGTAAAATTGGCTAAGGAGATATTTTACTACAAATTTATATTACGCTTGCATGAGTATGAACATCATACTCACTATCTCTAGACCACAGGAAAATAACAGATAATTAGAATTGAACCGGTAACTCATATCCATTATAGCTAGTAAATTAGGCCCATATCTATGGATGATACAGCTATAATTTAGCGTATGACAGTACTTTATAAGCTATAGTAATATGAATTTCTTAATGTTATATGATGATATGGTTTCTGAAACCTTTCTTACGAAAATCCAATTTTAAAATGAGACTCAACATTGGAAAGCCAAACAGCTACGTAATTGCAGCCAAAACAGTTTTTATTCCAAGCGTATAATAATTTCGATATTTTGTATATAATAAAAAAGCAATCTCTGTAATCAGTACATGAATATGAAAATATGAGCCACGTTAGTAACCAAGACAACATTTTCATTTTAATGGGGACTAAAAGTATAAATAACAAGCCCAATAATATTAAACAGGTTTAAAATCAGCTTTACATCTGCTCTTGCCGTCAGTAATCATTATGAAGACGATATAGGTGAAACAATAAGCTTTAAAGAGGGCAAAGGCCTCATAGTGAGATAAAGCCTTCTTGTAATTTCTAGATCTGGTACTAGACGGAAAGAAAAGTTACTTAACAACAAAGATAAGATACATTTTATTTCGGTTATAGCAAATTTAGCGCCTATACAAATTCGTGGCCCTGCGAGAAATGGCATAAATGTATAAGGCTTGATATCTTTAGCGGTAGTATTCCATCTATCTGGATCAAATTTTAAAGGATCTTGAAAATATTTCGAGAATCTATAATTGTGGTTAATAGTAAAGAAATACTTTAATTTGATATTGCTATAAAATGTTCAGGTTTAAATCATAATAAACAGCACTTTCCATTCATACTCTTATCAATAATTTAAAAACGTACTTATAATATATTAAAAGTAATTACAATAGTACATGTTCTCTAGATTAGAAAATCGTTCCCAACAAAGCTATAACCATGATCTACACTAGCTACTGTTGTAATTTATAATTACCGATGGGGCGGTAAAAGTGTAACAGCAGTTCCTTTCGGTATAAAATAATCTCCAATCATATCATCCGCTAACGCTTCTCGAAAAGTTACTGGCACAGGAGAATATAGCCTTTGGATAAATGATGAAAAATAACATAAAATGGACTACGGTAACTTATATATTACTTCAGCTGCCACGTAATACATATTAAACTTAGCACTACTACTTATAATATGAAAAATTCATTAGAAACCCATAATGAGTATTACTATTAATGCGCTTAGGCAGTAATAGCTTTATTACCTAAGGGATTCCTTTACAACACTGTCCAAATATGTCAATCCATCTAAAATGTCCCATGTAATGTTATCACACTGATGTAGAGCTTTATAAATTTCCTGGCGAGCTTTATTCTGAATCTCAGGTTTGCCGGCTAATGCATATAAAGTCCAAGCTATAGCTACACTTGTGGTCTAGAGAATGATAAATTTATTAGGTAATTCGTAAACAGTCGAAAGATGAATGTTCGTATAATTTTACTAGCTACAAAGCACATTAATCACGTAATATGTACTTGTACGAACCTCATGACCGGCGGCCATAAATGTCATTATATGATCTTTTAATTCTGTTTCCGTAAAGCCTGTATTATTGTCTTCATCTCTTAGGGATAACAAAATATCGAGCAGACACTTCTCCTCATCTATCGGAGTTAAAAAAGTACACAATATTTCTAAAAAAATCGATAATTTTTGAAATTTTAGAGTAGCTCGCTACAGTCCTACCGAGAGTTTCTTTTTCTAATCTTTCTTTAATGACTCTATTGATTGTGTTATGACAAAGGGAGAGAACACGCTTTGTTTTCAAATTGCCAGGCGTAGGTAGGTAATTATAAAATGGAATGAAGAATGTCCAACTGTAAGATTAATATTAGAACATTTATAAGTAAAACCGCTTTAATACAACAGCAATTTAATCCAATATAACTACTATTAATAGATACTCAAATAAGTTTGGTATATACAGTATACGTTTAATCTTTGTTTTTCTTTTCATTATTTGAGATTATGTCATATGCAGCTACCCTTTCTTCCTATTAAGGCTGCGTTAGCATGTATCACTCTTATGTCTTTATATTAGAAGAGCTTACTCAAAATCAAGACCTCCCAAGACTTTAGCAAAGGCAACCGAAGCTTCATTAGTCGGATCTTCTAATGCATTGCACTCATAATCAAAAGCGCTCTTGCATATTATATCCAATGTGACCCGGCTTAAATCCTCATGCACTTCTAGTATAGCTTCTTGACCACCACAATTATCAATTCTGCTTTGCCAATACTCAACCAGTGCTTGTGCAAATCTATGAAATATGGGCACTAGCTCTAGTATGATAAAATAAATAGTTTATTATGCATTTTTTTGGCTGATCATGATATATAATTACTGATAAAAGGAGCCATGATTAAATCGGCGGCTATCAATAATAATTTTTACGCTTTCTATATTTTATGAAAGTGAGTTCTTTTATAAGAGTGTCATTAAAATTATTCAGAAAAATAATAAGACCTTGTCAAAATAATGAGAATGTAGTACTTATTGGGCTCTTTGCTAGAAAAGTCACTAACCCTTAATTTTGCTGTGTTTAAAGGCTGGATTTATAATTTTACGAGCTTTAGCATGTTTTTGGCCTTCTAGTAAAACTAGCCCTTCGCCAATAGCAGGCAGTAAGAACCTATATTATAGAAAGAAATTACTGAGGATATCATTTTGTTGGGAGTGATAGCATTATTACCACATGTCAAAATATTCGTCTCTACAGGTATGATAATACGACAATCAACGCAATACTGACTTACTTTTTCCCTTCCTCAGGTTTCTTGTATTTAGTGCAATTTGTAACTAAAACATGCTTTATATAATCGGGGTCAATCAAAGCGACTTTTTGATGATAAATAGGAAAAACATAACGCAATATACCACCGTACTGTTCACTCCACCTATTAATGATCAGATAAAGAATTTATTTAAGTTAGGATTTTGGAACACGTCCACATAAGAAATTATCAACAAATTAAAAATGAAGACAGTTAACGTCTAGTGCTGCACATAACTAGTATTGCTAGCATAAATTTATGTGCTCTGTAATATAATATCCACTTCGATCAGACGTATACTATAACTAATAATTCACTATCAATGTCTACAACTTCCCACTTCATACCAAACATTAGATTGATGAACTTGATTAATTCAATTGTATTACACTATCATTTTTCATCATGAAATTGATCCAAGTACACTTAGACCACGCCAGTTTATGAAGAATTGTTAGAATACTTCGTTGAAACTGTCGTACTAAGTATTCTAAGAACTTTTCATAAACTGGCAGGATCTAATGTACAGTACAGTACAGAACGTTTATATTATTATTTTTTTTAAATAAGGAATTAATCCAATAAGATATCTTATGTCTATACAATACAGTAGATATAATAGGATCGAATATTTAGATTACTATGAATGAAATGACTAAGAGCGTTTACGTACTTGATGTATGAATCGCCAGGTGGTTCTTTCATAATTGTAGAGACTTGACCGAACGGAGACCAAGTTGGTGGGCCAGGAATCTGAGATAACAGAATAAGATTAGCAAGACAGGTATTGGCGAAGTTAAAGGCTTACACTCACAGTTAGTCAATTAAAAATCGATTCAAAAGACCGCGATAATATTTCGCTTTCTATCAGTCTAAACAATATGTAATAACAGGTAACAACATCCTTATCTAAGTGATACTTGGAGATAAACTCTGTCGATGTTAGCAGGACTTACCTCGTACAACGGTGATGTCAACATCTCTACCAATTGCTTAATTAAATAGCCAATACATAACGCTATACCCATGGCTACCCATGTCATCATATCGGAAGGAATAGGACTTGTATTGGTACTAGTCGATTTTTCCATGCTGCCAAGTTTTCGATATGCAAGAAGCACCGTGATCAAGTATTGATGAGCCAAGAAATATTTTGATGCGTATTTATCGAATTGGATATTATGTGCTTTTATTTATCAATTTGCCAATTTGCCTATACTGTACACTGTACACACACAGTAGGAAGCAGTACCGTCAGTATCTTATAGTAATCCTTAGCAAAGAACAAGGCCTATTTATTTTGTTGTGGATACAACATCACTTTCTCATTTTGATGGGTCAAGCTGCTAGTTGCAGTACTGATCTGAGCACCTGATGAAATATTTCCGCAGTTTATAATATACAGTGCGAGAGAGAGAGAGAGAGTGTAGAGTAGAGACGATTTAATACTATTTCCTCTACGTCCTGTGCTACTGTATATTATGAATGGGGCGCAATGGACTCGTTAGTATTGTATACCGTATTGTAGCCAGTTTCAGCACTAAAACTGCCAGCAGGCTAGAGACAGTCTCTAATTAAGCGCCAAGTCTAAACAAAGTTCAAACTCATCATCTTTAGAAATCATTGTGCCTGCTGAACACTAGTCTGCTACTACAGTATTGATGTAAATAAGTAGCATCATGTCTACGCAAAATATACTTGGATTCCAATATGAGGCTTTATGCCATCGGAAAGGTAAGATCTATAGTACTATGGTACAAGTGTGTTGTATTGCTCCATGAAAGTATATCTATCAAAATACTAATGGTGTTGATCGATAAAAGTACTAGAAATAGATCATGACTTTACGAGTATGCAACGAATAATGAAAGAGTTATACCAATAGATTGAAAGATTGACATTATTTAACTACTACCAGTATTAGCTATCCTTTCGACTAATCTAAGCAATGAGATGCATATTCAATATTCTTCTTCTTTCCAGCTTCATTATGACAGTGTCATAGTATTAATCTTTCAGAAAAACAATCAAGTTTACATACGTAGGCTTACAGCTACCAATAGTAGCCAATTTAGAAGTGTTTGTAGGCCACCTGATAGAGCTTTAGAAAAGCTGATTATAACTCTTAAAGTTTGAATGATAGCCGATTTTGACACTCTATTGGGGCTACAGTATTTGAGTAATCACATGCGAAAATAGGGTAGCTAAATTTCGTAATTCTGACGTAGTACAAAGGTAGCTGTTTGCATATTCGCGTATACTTATGTACAGTATATTTGTCGTTACTAATGACTTAGCTCAACACTATAATCACTGTTATCTTGGTAGACGGATGCCTCGCTGTTCTAGGATCAACTCTTAGCAGCTCGAGATGGACTGGGTGCATTCAAGTATATCCCAACACCGTGTCCACTTCAACTGAAACGACAGAATATACAGCAGGTACTGGCCATCCAGTTTCCTCTATTAAAAGTAGACATACGCGTACGTAAATTAAAGCATCAATTGTTGTTTGACATAAGAAATTTAAGGTAACGCTAGTTCGTGGTACTCCTTTTTAAGCATAGACTGCTCAAATATTTATTCTTTCGTTAATAGTCTCATTTTGTGAGAACAGCAGTGCCGATATGACATGGTTTGATGAAGATAATCTTCTTGTCGGATCTGACAATGGAGAATTGGTCGTATGGCTAATGTTAGACGATGATTGTAGTGCTATGAAAAGAACTACCTCCTTTTTAGAACACAATAACTTAATATCATCTCTGGATGTCAACCGTAATAAAATTGCTGCAAGTGGATCATCTGATAAATCTATCAAATTATGGGATATTGCTAAAGAGACATCGATTGCTACACTTCATAGTAAAGCATTATATAAAATACAAATCAGTCTGTAAAGTTAAATAGGCTAATTAATTAATTAATCATGTCATAAAGTATGGAACATGATTTATTGTGTATTATATTATAATTTCTTATCATCTGATAACTTTTGTATATGTTCATAGAGCACTCAGCTGAAGTTACTTCTTTAAAATGGAATCCTACGGAAATGAATATGCTAATTTCTACGTCTTCGGTGAGATTAAACTTTCTTGTGTTAAGTATATGACTTGACTTATTGACTGCAGTACCAATAATTGATACTGAACATCTTGTTCAGTGATTAGAAATAAAATTTCTAGTATCCTGAAGTATCACCTAAAGTGGGACTTTGTATTAATAATTTAACCTATTTAAATGCTTTCCAATCAAAGATGGATCAATAGCGGTATCTGATATGAGAGAATCATCAACAAGTTATGCATTAGGTATCAATGTTTTAGTTGGGAAGCAGCTGGTTCTAGCTACATGCAATCTCAACTATAGCCTAATCTTTAAGCTTATAGCAGTATTGTTACTAAAATATTCATTACGTTAACAATAATATCGTACTAGGCATGAAGCTTGGTTTAGCTGCGACTGCTGTTACTAATTGCTCTAATGTTAATGGCTCGCAATTTGCAATTGGTAAGTCAATTGTGATGTATACTTAAAAGCATGACTATACTATGCATAGTAATCAATTTGCTAAATCGAATCAACCAATAGTTAGATAATCATTCCCTTTACTCATTTGTCACATCAATTAAAACTACATACAGTAATCACATGTTTATTTCATTTGAAAAAGGATTCGAAAATGGTAGTATTTCTTTATTTGATATTCGGCAAGCTAATGAGATAGTTACTTCAACGAATTGCGTTCATAAACGCTGGATCACTAGACTCTTATTTTACAAGGATAGGTATGATGAAGCATACATTATCGTTTAATGCACGAACGATATTTTCTGAATAGTAGCAACATAATTTTGCTAGGCATCAGGTGATTGTTCTTTATAATTCTGAAATTAGTAAAATTATATCGGCGTCCGATGATTGTTCAGTATCTGTCATTGATATCAATACAAGCGGATTAATGAATATAGTGTAAGTATTACGTTCACAACTATGGCATGCATCTTTCTACTAATCTTTAAAATGACCATCGCTTTTACTTTAATGACTTCTCTTCGTATTAATATAGTTATAAAGATTATCGTCACAATGACTTTGCCAAGGGATTATCGTGCTTGCCTGAAAAAAATTCTTTTATGTCTTGCGGCTGGGATTCTCAAATTATTGTCCATTATGAACACATGTTTACAAATTGTTCAACCTGAGCTGTTATTATAACTTTTATATAACCTTTAAAATTCGTGAATTACACTTTGTATATAAGATAGCTTAGACACGACGATTTTTGCTATTGCAATCAAATTTCTTACCTGAAAGATAGAGGTCTAATCAACTACCGCTTCAACAACGGTAAATTTACTAGCTGAAATATTTCAATTTACGAGCATGACATATTTTACGGATTCTGATAAAAAGTAAGCATTATCTGCATACTACTGAATAAACGTACATTGCACTCCTATCTTGAAATAATTAATGTCGTTAATAAAGCAACAATCTCTGAAGAGGAATCAAATTCACGTCAAGTTGTAACTTTGTTGACCTCTACGGAAACTTCTAAATACAATATTTGTAAGAGTTTTACTGTGAAAATTGAAATACTGATTAAGCCAATCAAACCAAACGCGATTTATCCTCAGTTCTTAGCTAAAAATTATTACGTCAACGATAAAATGCAGTATTAAAATACACTACTCTGAAGCGTAACTTGTGTATGTAAATAATTTTATATCGATAGCACATAACATAGCTATCTGATCATACCTAGTATGGGAACGTGCTTTTATTAAGAAAAATATTATTATCTTCAATACCTCAACGAATTTGGCCTAAAAAACTTATCAATATCATAAAATTAGATTAATCTTCCGTAAATTTTGGGCTAATGGAAAATTCACTGTATTGATGGATGGCTTAAATGCAGAAATGCATACTTATGTATAGTATTTCAAGGTTATTACTATAGAAATGACTTAAATATTTGGTGAGCTCATTCACGTTGAAGATAAAGTTGGTAGTATATCTTTTAGTTAATGCGATGACCTTCGAAATCAATCATTTAACGAATTATAGTAATGACCTTACTAGTTACTAGTTACTTTAATATTTACAAATATTAATACGGATGCTACAAGTAGTGCAAGGCTATTACAACAGCTTAAAGGCTAAAAAATTCAGTGAGTTATATATAAATCGAATTCATTATTACATCTAATGAAAACTTCTATAACCGTAATAGCTTGCTGTAAGAATTATCAACGGTCACATTGCTGAAATCTTATTACTAATTACAGTTAATCTTCCATGAGCTACGCTAACGTAACAGTTGAAGAGCACCGCAGCTAATATCGTATATTTTGTAAGCAACTTACCAGTTGTCACAGTGTGGAAACCCTAATAACAACTACTGTGAATCTTTCCATGTGTTATGCTAGCGAAAGATTTGAACGGTATCCCGGGGAAGCTAGGAATGACTGAATAGTCGGCACAGAGCTGAAATCTTATTACTGCTGTAATTATAGTAAATCTTTCCATTTCTAATATACATGGAAAGATTGACTGCAGTTACAGTATACATATTGTGTATATTACAAGCATACTAGGAATTACCCGTTGTCATAGTATTAAAATCCTAATAATGACTGTCATGATTCTTTCCATATGCTACGCCAATGTAATATTGGGGTCGTAGCTATGATCGCATATTGTATTTTAGCAAGTATATTCGGAATTACTAGTTGCTACAGCGCTCAAGTCCCCCAAATAATTGTAGTACAGTAGCTAAGATCGTATATTAACAAGCATACTAACTAATATCATATACTACAAGCATACTAGAAATTAGCAGTTATCATGTTGTTTAAATTCCAATAATAACGGTAGTCAATTTTTCCATGAGCTACACTCACCTGATATTCGAATAGTAGCTACTGTCGTCTATTGCAAGCATATTCGAAATTATCAGTTGCTACAGTACTCAAATCCCAATAATAACTGCAGTGAATCTTTCCATGAGCCATGCTAACGTGATATTCGAATAACAGTTCACAAACCTAACATGGTGTATTAGGAAGCATATTAATTATTGTGTAGTAGGAGGCTAGAGTAAAACTAGAAGAGGTGTAGATTCCGACTTACTTTCATTATCATCGTCTATCTTATTATAAGACGACTTCACTACACTAGGAATTACTAATTGTCACAGTGATCAAATCCAATATTAACTGTCGTGAATTTATTTTTCAATGAGCTACGTTAACGTAATATTCAAACAGTAGTTAATATTGTATATTTGCTAGCATATTTACTAATATCATATACTGCAAGCATACTAGGGATTACCAGTTGCAACAGTTTTTAAATCCCAATAATAACTGCAGTAGATTCTTTTTTATGTGCTACGTTCATATCCTTATTCATTCGGTAGCTAATATCGCCTATTACACCACAGAGTTACTGTATTAGCCTTGTCATATTCTTTTCTTTCATGCTGTCATCATTTTGGCGTAAGGCTGTAAATACGATTACAACAGCAGCGGTGCAGAATATGATGGACATTGAAGTTTAATATAGCTCGAATGGAATGACAAGTTGAAAGGTTGACTACCTAAATTTGTGATGTGAGAGACGATATACCAGTGCGCTTCAGTCTTCTATTACCAAATATGATGTCGATGAACACGAAACTAAACCAGGTTATGGTACTGCAGTTGGTTTTCAAACTAGAGACGTTATAATTCTGTATTAATTTCTTCTATTGCTACATAACAAATGCTACAATTATTAACGGAATGACAATACAGTAGTAGGTTTTGCAATTGCGAGTATTTCTTTGTAGATTCCTGATTTAAAAATTTTGATTTTTTCTCTATCAGAATCCAGCATTATAGACAAAAATACCGAAAAATATTTTCTGCCTAAGGACTATAAAATAGAAAAATATCTCGTAAAGAAAGCTATATAACTTAAGAGCATCAATGGAATCCGTAATCAATAATTTTAAGAAACCTTTTTCCAAATTGGCTCATGGTCAATATTATGATGACAGGAAGGAATATTGTAGCCTTAGCAATCTTTGCCTTTTAGCAGATATAGCTTGTGCTCTCGCTGATTTCGATGCCGAATCTTCATCAACAAGGAATGAAAAAGTAACTTATCAACTGAGAAATGGAAGCAACATGTATATAGAAAAGAGAGCTGGTGAAGCAAATAGGTGCGAATCGTTGGTCAATATTTCAAATCTTGGTAGTAAAGAAATAAGAACGGATAGAAATGGGGATGGAAACATGCAGCAACCCCAAAATTTGTCATCTGCCAATCAAAAGTATTACAGAAGACCACGAACATCTTACTTTGTGCAATTTTTACGAGAAATGGTTGAGTGTAAGGCTTTTCAGCCATATATTAGATGGAGCGATGATGGTAGCACTTTTCATATTATTAATCCACCAGAAAAGTTTGAAAAGTGTGTGTTGCAAAATTTCCCCAAATATAAAACGAATAAATTTAACAGTATTGTTAGGCAATTGAATATGCATAACTTTAAGAAGGTTATTGGTCAGCGTAATCATTGTCCGAATTTTTCAACCTACAAAAACCCTTATTTCATACGAAGTAGGCCAAATTTACAAAAGTTAATTAAAGTGAAAAGACCTGAAAGATCGGACGAGAACATTACAAAGTGAAGATAGGCATTAGCGTATCATGTTATGATTTGGCTCATCATAAACGATTCCTTGATGGGAACATGAATTGAGTTATGGTAGGTGCAAGGAAAGAAAATTATTGTACAGACTATTTTAATGTGCTCGTATCCCCATGAAATAAGAAATGATAACTACAGTCATTGCAAAATTGGCAGTTGCTACGTTACTGATCTCGCTGTATTTTGTGTTCCTTTCCGCGTAAATAATCACCCCTATAAATTCAATTAAACTGGACATATTTATTAACGCTTATGACCATGTTGCATAATTGGTTTTCAACATGTTGAGAAGAATGAAGATCTGTCATGTATATTTTCGTCATTCTTATGTTTGGCCAGAAAGATGATCAAAAATTGACGCATCCTATCCGTTTAGCAAATTGTGGAATATGCCCGATGACGCAAACTGAACTTGTTGATTCGAATGTCGTTGCAAGTCTTGAACGCTAAATTCTAGTCAAAATTGATCCACTGAAATACTGTAATTATTGCGTGTTGAGCTATTTATCCATAGGCGAATAAGAATAATAATTCAAGCCGATAACTGGAAATTGATTTATTTTATTATAGAAGTAGAATAATTAATACCAAAATATATCGTCATCATCTTGTAATCGAATAAATAATTCGAATCACCGGTGTAGCCTATTTAACGGTATAATATGACTATCACGACACTCGTTATGATATTGTACTGTCTACTCGTTCAATAACCTCGTTGATTGCTGTAGAAAGGTATGTTCGGCAATAAAGACTGTTACGTCTTGTAGCAATCCCTGCTTTCATTTTTGCCCTCTTTCATCTATATATCCTATTTTTATATTCTACTTTTGCTGGCGTGACTTCAAAATCGACATGGCCTAATTGGCCAACATTTAACGCTATATGCCAAAATACTTTTACTGCCTTTCACTGAGTGCTTTCGCCAGTCTTAAACGTCTTTTTATTGGTGGCTAACTTAATTATTGCCGTGGTGGTCGGCTACGTCGACTGCATCTGCGCACAACTACATTATACTGGACCACGATTGTGATCACGTGATGGTAGGCTTGCGTTGCATGCAACTGTACTGTACACTGCTGTACTGTATGGTTTAGTACGGTACGGTAGAAGTGTATGTGTAGGCATGCGGTACAGATGTTAGTTTATATTTTCTCTCAGGCTTTTTCCTGCCTGGCATTTGAACAACTTCTAGCTGGAACTGTAGTTTGCTATCTAATGAACTGCTAGAATTCTCGCTCTGTCTTGCAAAATGCTCAATCTACATAGGACATTAAATCATGGTAAGTATCATTAGGTACATGATGCATAGATACTTGCTGATGAGCTTGCCCTTACATCGTATAACATTGGGATCAGTCTTGCCACGAGTCGTCAAAGTCGAGGCTTTCCAAGTCCAGTCTTTTCTAGCTACAGTATGTGATAAAAATCAACCAGTAGCCCCCCATTCGATCAATCATTTATGAGATGATACACCCCTTCAGCGAATAAATAGTAAGCTTGTTGATCTGCCACCCAATGTAGTAGCTATCAACTGTGGAAATATGTGCTAACAAACTTGCATTGATGTAGTAGGTTAATATCAAAATCATAGATGGTATACAATTAATGCCACTTTATCTACTATGGGATCTCTGGAGGGAAGTGCATGCCGCAATATTACAGAAATCTCAATAGTCATACATACAGTAGATCATAAAACCACTGTAGGTACAATTATAAATCGCAAGTTGATAACAATCTAAGATATAAAATGCTCCAACTGTCTCCATCTTGAAGTGGAAAGTATAAGTCTCATTACAATGGATACAGTAGTAAAGGACAGTACCACGGTATACAAACACTATCTGCAAGTACTTGGTTGCCTATAGCTACTCGTAAATTCAATTGCAGTACAACTTTTGATAATTATAATGGATCAAGTTATGCTGGTACATTAGTCTTTTTAATGCAGACGTAGTCTTTTGCCATATACGTATGCTGAAATGGAGGCAGCAAATCGATACTATAAAAATGCATTGGAATGCTACACATAGTAACTTCTCAGTGGTTACATCTCGATATTAGTAAATTCACCTTTAATTGATAGAGTTTATACAACGTACTAGTACTACACGGTATATGGGGACTAGCAAAGATACCGATTCGTATTACTACAGGTCTGAAAATTTACGATTTGTTCGATTAGTACTATTCTACAGTATTTCCTTTAGACTATACTATTATCATCATACAGAACCTGCAATTTGTTACTGTCAGGAGAGGACCCTGAGACAAAATTATGTAACAGCCAATATTATATATAAATTACAGGTTTGCTAAAACTATAACGTTTCCTACTGTGTCTCACTATTTACCTATATTCTTCTCCAATAAATAGTTTGGCATAAAACTATCGTAAATGGCTGTAGGCATGGAGAATTCTTCACCCAAGCTATGGGGTAAGTGGTAGTTTGCACCTAAATATTGCTATCTTGCATACCTTCTTGTAGCGAGCATACATCATGCTAAAGCTCTTTCGAAAGTTGTATATCAGAATTGTGCAATATTACTGTACATGGTCATCCATCGTCATATCTTAGTAGTAGGTCATATAACTGCACCACTTAGGTCAAATAAAAATGCTCGACTTAAAATAAGTATTGCATTATGATCGTTGCATCCCAACTTGTTTACCTAGATATAAGATGAGTAATGTCTTGGCTTCAATGTCTCATCGATTTCTATCAACGGCGCCACAGCCGGAATCGAAATTACCGCAGCGTGAGACGAAAAAAAGGTATGCGGGTAAGTTTCTACATAAACCTATCACCCCTAATACGTGTCTATAAATATACATATTACAACTTCTAAGCTCAACTTAAATAAACACCCTTTAACATTGACCTACTGTAACATACACGCATATTAGTTTAATGGTTGGGATTAAATAACGCATTACTTCCTATTGATGACAGATATAATAAAAAATGTTAACGAAGAAATAAAAAACCTACCGCAAACCTATGCAGTCGTGTATGTTGGTAAGTCCTAACAGATGCTATTATACAACACCTTAACTGTCTACATTGAATGATAATTGATCGATATAACCAATCACATATGCAGGTGGTCATCAATTCAAGATAACAAGAAACGATATCATAGTCATAAATCAAATTAAAGCGGAAGTAGGATCCGATATTATTCTAGAAAAGGTATGAAATACATTTAATGGAAGGGCGACATAATATCTTCACTACCTCGTTAGTTGAATATTACATTACATGTCTTCTTATTTAAAGGTGTTAGCAGCTGGCTCCAAGAATTTTACTTTAATTGGTAGGCCTCTAATAAGGTAAACGAATTTCAAGTTTATGTGCAAGTCATTTATTTTATTCAGAATTTATAAAAACATCAAAAAGGCTTTATGATGGCGAGATGTAAAAATAAATGACTATTATTTCTGTTCATAGTAATAAAATAGTCAAAGTCTCTGCTACGGTAGCAGAGCATACTAAAACGCCTAAAATAACTGTATTTAAAAAGAAACGTAGAAAAAATTACAAACGAACCAAAGGTATGCCCTTGATTATAAAGCTTGCTGCAGTGCGATATTTTTGAAAATCACATTGAATCTAAATTGATACTTTTATCTGGGTAGGTCATCGACAGAATGTCACCGTTTTACGAATTAACGACATCGAGTTACGCTCAGAATTATCATAAAATTTAATCTTTCCGCGCTTTGAATTATGAATCCTAATTTTAATCTGATATAATTTTAACATATGATATTGTAATATAGCATCTTTGTCATATGGACAGAAACAATAATAAATACAACAGGAAATAAAATAAATACGATATAAAGTATCTTAACCAATTACTGATATCACTATTTCGATATCCGATTTACATGCTTGCACTGCTATGCGGTATATTCGAAACATCGCAATAGCTCAAAGAGTGCAGCACAGATTGAGGTGTATAATGTTGAGTATCTTACTTGAAAATATGCACATGTCTAAGATCTAGTTCATATATGTCGTCAATTACGTTAATAAAGTAAATCATCAACATTGTTGTGTATAGAGTACAGTCTGTCAAGTATTTCAATAAGGGTGATTAAGACAGATCCCTCTACCTATTGGCACTGTAGCAAGTAATTGCTAGTCTTATCATGTAAAGTGGTAACAACTCCTAGTATGCAATACTATTGTAACCCTTACTAAATAAATTAAATATCGCAATTTGATTTAGGCTAACAGCATTATGTGGGGTAAGCAGGTACCTACGGCCGAATCGTTTGACACATTAACAAACGCGCACTATGAAGCATTATAAATGTAATGTTGATACATGGTAGTACCTACCAGACACTACAGTACCGATATTATCTGATCTCCGTATTGTAAGAAAGTAATTATTACTGATAGTATTATAGCCATTGTACTTGTTAAACAATTAGTGCTGATTTTAATATAAATAATTAATCAATAATCACAACAATACGCAAACACTGCTAACGGTCTACTATTCAGTAAAGGTAATCGAAAATTATACTGTAAAACTAATTTAACCGATGCCAAAGCAACAAGAAATCTGCACTACGAATTAACTGTTGGAATTAGCTCGTGCGAGGCAAGAGTTCATAACAAAGTTTATGAGAAAGTTTCACATATACGGTATCATTCATACGAATAATCAAAAGTTCTTTAATAGCGAAACTAAATTATTAAATTAACACACAGTCGTTGAGTCCAGTTATATCTACAGATAGTAAAATACATTTGTTTATAATAGTTAAGTTCAATTAGCTATCACTTCAAATAAAGTTTTTTGATTTAATTTTACCATTTCTAGAGTTCCAACATTTTAATCGGAATTAAGATTTTAATTAATTAATCAACCAGATGTTTTTTGTAATACAGTGATGTTCGAGTCACATATAATAGGGGTATTATTGATTACTGCATTATTTCTATTGTGCTAGGAGATAATATGTTCCTCACCATACAGAAGTATTAAAAAAAGGATACCGACAATGTAAACTAGATTGCATCTGTTCCTGAAAACTTTAAATTAATCTAGAAAATTCACATTTAGCCTATTACTATATTGTAGATAGTGATCATATCTTAGAATATATATGTTACGATAAACAATTTAATTATTAACTTGTTAAGAAATTCATATCGTAAACATTTTTAACCATCAGTCAAATCCATTATCTGGTAAATAAGTAATTGAAGATAATAACAGTCACCAAAGAAAGACACGTATCCCTGCAATAACAGCCCGATTTAACTGTTGTATTATAACAATAATATTCATTACATCAAATTATTATATCAGAAAACCAAATTGATCAAGATTATACAGTTGCTCTAAGAAGACTACTATACTGGGATAAAAAAAAAACATTTATCACTTTATAAGTTTTATTGTAGTGCAATAATGGAATCGCTACCTAAATGAAATTTATAGCTGTACAACAAATTACTACTAGCTAGTGTAGTATGTGTATGTATGGCTTTCACACGAAGTAAGTAATTATATTTTATTTTATTTTTCGAACTGTATTTGTAGAATAGAATTTGATACTTTGCCGTATTAAAAACCGTTGCAAGTGTACTTATCTAACAGTATTAGGATACAATTTATAAATTATAAAGATCTTTTTGAAGTTTTTGCTTTAAATAATGCCTCTACTCTGCAAGACAGTACAACTGACGTATAAACACTTCTGATTTTTTGATATAATTTTGTTATTATAATTCATAGTATGTTATAGTTGCTTAATCTATTTTGGGTGTTAGAAAATTACTTGGTGTCTCTTTAGAATTAATATATTCTCTTCATGTCGGTAAATCAAATTAACTTGATCTTTTTCTTGTCTTTGTATATTTAAGGTATGAGATTTTGAAGAATGAAGTAACGCTAGCATACTGTGATTATTAATCTAGCCTGATACTCTAATCAAGGAGATCTTTGTACAACGTTAAAACTTGAAATGAAGAAGCTCTTAAAATTCTTACTGATCACATTTTGTAGTTTAAATCTTCTAAGGTATATCCATGTTCTTATACTAACGGTTATAGTTCTATCATGTTCCCTAATTGCTTTTCAAGATTATACACTTCCCGGTAACGTTAAATTATTGCACGACAAGCCAAATTTTATGTACTACAAAGATAGGCATTTATTATATCAAAATGGAACTTCTAAGAGTATAAAGTCATGTCGAAGACATATTGCACAGATTACTATTAACAACGGATATCGTATGTCTATCGCAGATGGGATTATAAAGAAAAATGTCCGATTCATGAAACAACCCCTTGATTTACAACAACAATTATTATTTCATACTCAATTTAGTATTGAACCTTGTAGAGGAAAAGTCTTTGTTTTAATAGTTATTAACAGTCATGTTAATAATACTATTCGACGTGAAGCCATTCGAAAAACTTGGGGTAATCAAGATAGTGAAATTAACTGTACCTCAAACAGATTGTGGAAGATTGTGTTTATACTTGGTATGAACGATGACAATGAGCCACCAACTCAAGCGATTGAACAAGAGTACAAAATCCATCGAGATATTATCTTGGCCAAAATAATAGATGATCATCGTAACTTGACCAAAAAGACTGCACTAGGGATGTTTTGGGCTGAAAGATACTGTAAACCCAAGTATTATTTAAAAGTCGACGATGATGTCTGGATTAATAAATGGCAAATGTTGCAATACTTAAGAAGACGTTATAAAAAAGTATTGCCATATAATGATCGATTATGGCTGGGATATGTTAGTCGTAAGAACAGAATTCCAATTCGAGATCCTGATGACAAATATTATGTATCATTTCGTGATTTTCCAGGTAAGCTATTTCCGCCTTACTGTTCAGGCTTCGCCTATGTTATGTCGGAAATGGTCTTGACAGCCATGGTCGAGGCTATGAAATGTACACCTCAATTACCAGGGATTGACGACGTTTATATCGGAGTTTTGGCTAGAGTGATCAATATAAAGCCAAGACATAATCCACGATTTCATTTACACTTAAGATCACGCCGAAGGAATCGATTTACTGTATCGGAAATTAATGCTACGCTGGCAGAGCATGGTGTTGTATCTCGTTCAATGCAAACGGCCTTACATAAACTGGCTTTAAATGCTGTTAAATTAAGTAACGAATCATAATTATTACAAATGCGAGCTTTGTAATTACTCAATACCATCGTATCAAATCAATAATTTTAGACAAAAATTGCAATCAGTCTCGAAAGGTATCCTATGATAAGTTATTTGTATAAATTTATTCTTTAAATTTGAAAGCTATCAAATATTCTATATTATTACAGTTATCTTTTGACTATTACAGTATCCTGGCAAGGGATGAAAGAGTCGGATTTTAATGAACTCACGGATCAAATGTGTCTAAAGTACTGATATAGGTGCAGAAATGATATAAATCATGATAAAAGTAAGAATTAATAAAGATGTGTTCAAGTACAATCTATGCATGGTATTATGATGCAATTATGAAGGATACGAGTATGATTATCTGCTCTTAGAACATGTGGACAACTGTAACTACCCCAAATCGATATCGATTCTCCTTCTAAACGTTATTACCAATGGTTGGTACAAATCTAAGTCCGAAATTGGGTAAAGAAAAACGATCAAGGCAAACCTTTTCATTAGCAGTGGAAATGCTCTCATTTTAGTTAAAATCTACTCATAGTTACCGAAGAATGAGCTAGAAATGAAACAAGTTATGAGGTGTCCTATCGCATACGCGTAATAGCAAACAAAAATGTCTAAATCCTATCCAGAATTGTTTCACTTTTAACATTTTTAATATATAATCCTTTTAATACTTTGTCTTTTTATGAATTGATATCCATTATGATTCGATTGTAACAAAAATATGAAGATTTTCGCATTAGTATCAGTATGTCTGCATGGTGCATACCGAAACTCCCTATCCTATAATTGAACTGCAATATTTTTATTATTGGTCAAAAATAAGTAATCGCCTTTATACGCTAATATTATATCTATATTAATTAATTAATTAACTGATTCATGAAATATATACAGTATGTAGTGACCTATACACTTATAATACTGTACAGTATAGACGGCTACAGTAGTAGCTATGTTATTTTTTTTGGGGGGGGGGGACTGGGATACGTTAGTAAAAGAGTACAAATGAAGATATGTATATGTAGTGACCTATACACTTATAATACTGTACAGTATAGACGATTACAGTAGTAGATATGTTATTTTTGGGGACCGGGATACTATAGTAAAAAAGTACAAATGAAGATATATATATATATGTAGTGACCTATACACGTATTAAGTAAAAAAGTAGTAAAAAAGTACAAATGAAGATATATATATGTAGTGACCTATCACTATATAGACGGCTACAGTAGTAGATATGTTATTTTGGGGGGACTAGGATACGTTAGTAAAAAAGAACAAATGAAGATGTATACTGTATATGTAGTGACCTATACACGTATTAAGTAAAAAAGTAGTAAATAAGTACAAATGAAGATATACAGTATACTGTATACTGTACAGTATGTAGTGACCTATCACGTATTATACTTATGTTATTTTGGGGGACTAGGATACGTTAGTAAAAAAGTACAAATGAAGATATATATATGTAGTGATCTATACACGTATTAAGTAAAAAGTAGTAAATAAGTACAAATGAAGATATACAGTATACTGTATATGTAGTGACCTATCACGTATTATACTTATGTTATTTTGGGGGACTAGGATACGTTAGTAAAAAAGTACAAATGAAGATATATATATGTAGTGATCTATACACGTATTAAGTAAAAAGTAGTAAATAAGTACAAATGAAGATATACAGTATACTGTATATGTAGTGACCTATCACGTATTATACTTATGTTATTTTGGGGGACTAGGATACGTTAGTAAAAAAGTACAAATGAAGATATATATATGTAGTGATCTATACACGTATTAAGTAAAAAAGTAGTAAATAAGTACAAATGAAGATATACAGTATACTGTATATGTAGTGACCTATCACGTATTATACTTATGTTATTTTGGGGGACTAGGATACGTTAGTAAAAAAGTACAAATGAAGATATGCTGTACAGTACTACACTTACAGTATAATACTGTACACTGTATGTTACAGTACTGTACAGTATAGACGGCTGTACTGTACTGTACACTGTACAGCTCGGTAGCATGACTCATGTACACGTCAGTCTCCAACGATTAAGCCATTGTGACTCATTGATTTGATGACGTAATAGCGTCAAAACTTAAAATATCGAGTACAGTACGGTACAGTACCGTACAATACAGTACAATACACTCTACTCTACAATACACACTTTTCAGGTTTTAACAGCCTTTAGACTAAGATTTTGCATTTTCATTTTTGCACTTTCTGTGGCCGCAAGACCTACAGTACAGTACAGTACAGTACAACACGTCTACAGCACAGTGTTGTACTGTAGACTACAGGATGTATACTGTACAAAGTGTCTCACAAGTCTTTCGCGACGATTGAAATCATAAGAAATTATAATTTTCAAATTTTAGCTGTCCAGTTTGGTATCATTTGATAGTTTAAATATTTAAAAATTAAAATGTCATCAAAAATGGAAAAAAATCAATTTACAGTACACAGGACACGGTACTGTACTGTAGTACAGTGTACAGTACTGTACACTATACTGTACACTGTATGGGAATGACGGAAAGAGAGTGCGTAGTTACGCGGCGATTGATGACGTCACGGTGCAGCAGTACATACAGTACCGTACAATTGAATACTGTACCGTACCGTACTGAAGTAACTGAACTGGAACAGATTTTTCCAAATCGCAGCATTTTAAGAGTTTGAAGCAAATCTGGTGAACTACATTGGAAAATCCAATCCAAATTGCTCCTTCCAAGGAAAGGAAAGATGAAAAATGAAATTGGAAACATGACTGACATCCAATGACACCTTATCATCTCTAGAAATTGTTCAATTATTGCCATCATCGGTTATATCAGAGGCCATACCAGCAAGATAAACCATGGCTCAACCACATTTAATCAAATTGATTATTATTGTTATTTTATTAATCGTCATTCAGTAAGTCGTATAGTTGGACTTTAAGATGAAGAGAATAGTTGTCTATTTAGTGATTGATAGAACTGTGCTAGTATAGTCCATAAAAATAACCTCCAATAGGACATATTAAACAAGGAAAAATGTGCATTTGAGTGGAGTACAGTACTGTATTATTTATACCCTCACATTAGACATGCAGTCCAATGCGATGATAGAATAGAAATACAATCATTCCATCCCAATCTCATTCAGAAAGAATAGTTATTCTTGCTTGCGATCTTATTACGATATCAGGAGTAATATAAAACTGATTAAAAACCAAAATGAAGTTTTGGATAATGCAAGTTATTTGCGTAGAATTCTAAGCTGCAATCTTTCTAGGTGAATAAATTCTACTCTACTCTATTCATACATACAAATACCATCTCTCTTCCAGTAGTTTATCAGGATAATCCGTAAGAATGCTGATCGAGAGTTCATACAAAAATAGTATAGTCTTCTGCCTTGTACGATGGAACCTTTGCTATAGCATTCTATGTAGCTTATATAACATAAGTCAATATCATATTGTTGTAAATGAACTGCCTACAATATTGCGCTTTTTCTACCACAACATTTTCTCCTGAGTTCATGGAATAGGATGATGCTTGATTCATGTTCATATTAAATGTACGATACTTATATATTATTGAACTATATAATTGGGGTAGAAGTCGACTTACTATACGGACATGAACACAGAGTATTATATTAAAACAATCAATCACTTTGAAATTTATTTTATTAATGACCATGTATTGACTATTTTAGAATATGTCTTGAATCCTTATATGCGAGCAGAAAGAATGAAGGCACAGTGATGAAAAGTACAGGTAAAGGAAAAATAACTTATTCAAAAGAAAGTAACATATTTGTACTACACTGATAGTATATTAAATTGTTTATACTATAGCTGGATACACCGAATGAATTTGTACAACAGTAGCTCTTAGTATGCATCTTCAAATAAAACTGAATATCGCGATCAATTCTGTCTAACGATATCGTAATATGTGTTTACAGTATCTGTGGCGTTTTTGTTTCTCAACAAGTACAGAATAACGATAAGCGTTCACTCTAGCAATAAACAAAACTGACTACAACACTTTATAAGCTTAAAATGAACACTGTCAACATTTCTATTAGCACTATAAATTATATATTAGCAAAAACTATCGAACTTGATACAAATAAGTCGTTCAATAAAAAAGTCAATCAATTTTTCGTACTTCACTCGCTTACCGTAATATAGTATAGATATTACATTCATCGTTGATATGTAGCGGAATATAGAATGGTCGAACTAGCGTAAAAACTCGGTTAATTTAATTGTATGCTTATAAGGCTGATTAATTAGTAATGGTTCATCAAAAATTTTGTCTGCTTATTACAAATACCATTTTAAATCTTTTTTGTCAGCATCAAACACGACAACAAATCAGTGTGGCGAGATCATTGAAGTTGGAGAATGCCTGCCTTGTTCTGCCTTTGACAAAGTAAGTATGCTGTACAAATGTACGTATACTATGAATGAAGAAATCCAGATTTTAATAAAATATTTCAGAGAAAAGCGATAAAAACACACGTAATAAATTTTAGTTCTGTTGTCTACTTTGATTAACATTATCCCTTTCCATCATTTAAAGTATTTTATAATTTTTTTGGAGTGCTATCGTATGATAATACATCAATGATTATCCTACTAAAGTGCACTAACTTAGATAACTTCAATGTCATCTCTTCCTATTCGCTGTGGCAAAGTGAAATATGTTATAGTAGTAGTTTTTAATTAATTTTTTATTTTGCCTATGCAGAAAAGTCGAGCAATCCGTGCTTGTGCAGAAAACGGTAATAAGCAACTCGTCAAGTGTCGGAAAAGTAGGCAAAAGTTCTATAAAAGGTATAAAATTTTCTATCAATGTTACATCAACGTATAGAATATATATTAGCGAGTTATAATATCGATATTAAAAATGTCTTCTTTACTGTAGTAATTATGATATTATATTATTTTTCTTACATCGATATTATTATGCTTGAGCACTGATATTATGATTATTATTATTTGCTAATATGCTATACTAATGATAATATTATACTCTACATAGCTGTTTGATGGTTCCTTGGATAGCGGAACGCAATTACTGGATATTTCAGGTATGATCTAAGATACTATGCTCCTATGACATGTTTTCCAATAGATTGCTTGATAATAGCTGGCTGTTATTCATTAACGTTATCTTCACATAAACTGTATTGACGTTAGAATTTATTCAAACTCTTTACTAATATTAATCAATACTGGCGTATATTGAATGGGTTGAGAAAATAATATTTAGAACTCTACTTTTATATAGGTTTTCATGTTAATAGTAGCACTACCATCTTGGGCAACTGTTTGGATCAGAAGAAGAAAATTAGAAGAGCAGGCTAGAAGACGTGTACAGCGGCAGATCAATGATATACTATAGTTTTAAGAATTTATATTAAGGTCTTTATATGATTTACATTCATGCGCAACCTTTATGAAAAGTCTAATATAATTTGGATATAGACTCTAATGTATAATACAAGTTATTATATGATTTTAATAGTTCAATTAACCGACCCTAAGTTTCTATCTACTTATCATCTCTGTAATTATTCACACATTACTATTAGAGAATTAGATAATCTTGCTGCTTCGACTAATTTTTTCAGTTATATATGTACAGATTGCATTCATCTGTCTATCATTATTATTTGATGCAATGCAGTTATTATACCTTGGAATATATCTGATGATTACAGTAATATTATAAACAAAATTACAAATTGTCATCAATTACATTTCCTACACGACGACTACAAATTTTGACCTTTATTTTATGAGAGTATTATAATATTTCACCTTGTAAGAAAATTTACTCAAACAAATGATGCAATCCACTACGTATAAGAGTTCGAACATTTTTGCTACGGTTGCAAATTAATTAATTAACTGCAAGAATTTTACACTTTATTATAAACAATCGCAAACTAGTATTTTTTTCGTTAGCCTATGCTTACTGATGATTAACCAGTGTAATGATAGAATTTTAGGCAATGTCTTTGTAAGTGATTTGTTTCTCGGATCGAGAGGCACTATCAGCACAGTAAATGTAGTTTTAAAGATATAGTTATTTTGCGTATTGGAAATGTTCTATTTTACAAAATGTTGCTTAATTAATATTGGTCCTTCGACTTAAGTTATGGCTTCTATCGCTTATATAGTAAGAAGGATGGAACTGCTTGCAAGTTAGATGGTTAAACTTTATAGTCTCTTTCGAGATATAAAAGATAGATTAAAACTATCAATTATAGGAAATAAAAGCTGTCAATTAATTACATCCGTAGTACATTTATGTCAATATTACAGATTGGTACAGTATCATACTACTGTATTTTCATAGTAATAGACTGTACTGGTGTATACTACACTATGTGTAAGTTACCGAATACAATAGATGATCGTAATTTCGTTTAGTATTCATCTTTCGGTCATCGCTTTAAAATTTCCCATACAGTAATATTAGAAGGCCATGAAACCCTTACCTTCCCAATTTATGTCCTCGGCCGTTTTTAGCAGCACTTTGACTCTGTAGCTGACCGAAGAAATAAGCTCCTATGATGATTCCCATGAGGATTACGATTACAAGCTAGACAACGTTATGAGTGTACGCCTATTTTTGTAAATTTTTAATACAAATTACATTCGGATCACACCGCTGCCTATAAATATTAGCCAACAGGTAGAAGAAAAGACTAATGGCGTATTTAAAAGAAAACTATCAAACTTAGCCTTGTTGTAAACTATGCTAATCGATAAATTAATTAGCTAACTTTGAAATTTAATTTATTATATCAATATTTTAAAACATTAAACAGTAAAAAGCATATAATAATTATATATATGATCAATACGAGTAGTTAATTATTATCTCTAGTAGAATTTATTTGTTTACTTATCCTTTTCATCATCTAACTGCGGAAAGCATAAGATAACTGAAACTATAAAATGAGTAACGTCAAGACTTGATCTATTTTAGTATTCCCTTATTGAAATAGCATTTGCATTGCCAGCACAACGATTGATTTTTATTGCAACCTCAGTTCTGATTGATTAAACTGTATACAGGAGTATTTTGTGGTGATACATTACATGAATAAATAAGGCTGTCTTGCTGATACATGTAAATTATTTTGTAAGCCTTTATTATCTTGAATTGCCAACCATTTGATTTTATTTATCCATCCATAAACTTCATCATTTGATTACACAAGCTGCAAAACAATCTCGCAATAACTGAATATTAGTGTACTCGTACTTGATTACTTTAAGGCTAATTTATGACGTCCTATGGTTGCTTTTACATATCTTTATTTACTGTACTATTTAATGATCTCGCCCTCCAATGCGATAGCCTATTATTACGAAACGATTTATTCGATTACTCTTTTTAGTTGATGTACGTACCAAGCGCTAGATTTTATTTACCCTCGAGTCTATTTGATTGTTCAATTGTTTTAAGCACAAATTAACTTGTAATGGCGTCGTGTTGTAGCTATTGGTAGTACTTGACCTATCTTTTATTCTTTCTTTAATTCATGCAATAGGGTAGAATTTGCCAACGCTATTCATAAAATCTTATTGATCTGCCTTCCAACTATACAAAAACCATAAATATTAACCAACAAATATAATGTCTACAGGTATATCAATCACAAGTATACTTCTACTTCTAATATATTATACAAACTAATTACTACTGTTAGGATTTCATTATTACGTTCGATCATCATAAGGCCTAGTCTGTAGTCATAATATATTAGACTGAATAAATTATAGTAACCACGGTAGATAGAGCTGTCTATTCTACTGATAAAGTTTGCTAGTAAAGATCTTGTTTAATATCATGTCGTTCGTTGGAAGTCTAACGTTTATGTTAGGGCAGTTAGTCTGCTCATTAAATATTAATTACTTATTTCCTTAGCACTATTCCCGTTGCTCATTTTGCATCACTTTAACGAGCGCTTATGGTTCGTAAATAATTAATTACCAGGTGATAATAAATATTGCACCAGTAATCTGCTTACAATATTGTACAATAATCATTATAATTGCTATAGCTTATACTTAGTATTGATGAATGTCTACTGTATTAAAATTTCGATTATTAATTTATTCCATTATTATTCATTTTAAATTTAAATACCAATCAATGTCATGTTTCACAAACTGTTTCATTGTTCAACCATATGGAGAGCATCTTTGTGGACAATTCTGAGATCTGAACAGTGTGCTTTATATTTGCAAGGTCATTTAATATGACGCCAGTGTAAAGGTTCAAGGTAGATGCTCGTAGTTTAGATACAAAAATTGTTATCACTTATCATGGGAAAGTTTGAAGTTGTCTGTATTATCTATGTTACTTTCTCAAATTACTGAAATACGATTATTAAAGTTGATCAATTTTTTCGCCTCTTGAATGGCAAGTAAGTCATTATCAACTAATTCTATAATCATTGCATGCAAAATCAACTACAACCGATTCCAAACAAGGACGATAATATGTTTCCCGAGAAGAAATAACTTAAAATGGCGGAGGAAAGCGTTATCCGTGAAATCATCCAAGCTACCTTTCCAGAACCAAAAATTAGGAATAATGGTGTTAAATTGAATGGAAATAACGGTGATGCTACAACTAATGATGTTAAACTGATTGGAAATAACGATAATGCTATAACTCAAAATGGGATTGCTAATTATCCTGTAGTTGGAATTGAAATTGAGCAGAGCATCAATCTTGATCTATATTCTTCTAATCTCGATAGAAAAGATGGCAATTTAACTGTAAGTGGTAATAATATAACATGGGGTAAATATCATGGATATAAATCATCGAATAACCATTTACGTCGACTTTCGGCCCATTTAAATACGGAAAATTTTCGTGAAAAGAACGTTCCCAGTATCCAAGAGCTATGTAAATCAGTTAATAAAATCTATTTTCGACCTAGTAATAACTCTACTGTTCACACCCGAATTCGTGACGAAAGTCTAGACAGCAGAAATACTAATTGTAAACACACCAAGGTTAAAAATAATAAAGATTACGAAACTAAAATGGGTAGACTACATAAAAATATCAACGGATTGGCGCAAGAACGTTACTCTATCCACATGCTAGATGATAAATCTGAAAGTCAGAAAAAGAAGCACGATAAATCCATTATTAATCGAATGATCGGTGAAGACAGTTATTTTTCGAAAATAAGGCAAACATCATGTAGCCGAAAGTATCGGCGCGATACGACTTGGGAACAATCCAAAGCTAAAAAGATAATATTCAATAGCCAGTTATTAGCACAGGCCTTCGACTGTGATAACCTTTTTCACATGCTACAAGAAATAGAGCATAATAATCACCTACTTGATCGTAGTATGGTTAGGATACAAGGTAAATCAAAATGTCTAAATAACTTTGTCGCCGATGGCATCGAATTCGATGACGAGGAAGAGGTAAAGATAGATTGATGCCAACATCAATGCATGTAGAATTTTTGTTATTGCCCTAATTCTTACATAATTTACATCGCAGTGCAATTTTTCGTATACGATATATCCATAGACTGCCATCTTTAATCGAATATGAAAACGGAAATAGACTTATAGTATTTTTATACTAAGTAAATACAACGTGAAGCTCTACTTCAAAACCCCTATAATATTTTCCTTAATAATACCACCTACAGTACATTCATCATCATTCTGTTTAAAGTAATACTATAATTTTTCTATTTATTATGTCATATTACGTTTAAAATGAAATTTAATTAGATACAGGACGAGTTATTTCTAACAAATAAATTGAGTGCCTATTTCAAAGTTATTAATGACAATTCCAACATTTAACCTTAATATTTGATCTGAAGTGATAGAGGCTGTTATAACTTTCGATAGCAGTATTTCACGCTGATGTTTAAATATCATAAAAGCTGTAATCGACACTTTACTCATATCAGGATAATTTTAGGTGAATTAATATAATGCTGATATTCTACTTAAATTTCTTTTTATCGATTTTATATGATATCGATATTATACGCATTTGTATGATGATACTGCTGCATATAGAAATAACAATTATAATCAATCTATAATGCCATCTTTTCATTATGAATGCATTGTAGATGAGAACGTATTTAAATAAAATGCCGCGAATGGCGGAAATGTTAAGGAAGGAACTAGAATTTATTAAGAAGCAACATACGAAAATAAGGGTAAGAGTAAAAATTTTAATATCGCTCTATTGAATCTATTACTTTATTGAAATGCTGATTGTAATACTTATCACTCTAGGCTTCAGCTTATGTATAAATAGCTAAATCGAACTTTATTAGAGATATTTGAAGATTTCTGACATGCTTTCGATATAATTATTGTTACAGAAGGATTCAGCTTCCGCCGCAACTTAGCCACCAATATCCGAAGCTTATCAATTGAAAATCGTAGCGAGAAATGATCAAATACTACTATACAAAATAATATTCACAGAAATTAACTATTTGCTAATAGGACTTTATAATGAGAATCATTTTAACTGGATTTGAAATTTATCTGTCTCTAATGTACAGTATATTATTGCATAATTTGCTGTCTAAAAATCGAATTTTAACAAATTAATGTCACCTGTACCACTTCCTATAAAACACTGACTTGATTTATAATCTAATTGTAATGTACAATATAACAGTAATACGATTTTCTATGCCACCTTGCTAACTAAACTACTGAGTTCGATTTTAAAATTTATTTATTGTATATTTGTCGGTTTGACTATGAATATTATAGTCGGTTTTGTATCGGACATTTTAGGTTTCCATGTAGTAGGTTAACTTGAATATTTGTATCGTATTCCATTCCATTGCTTCCCAATATCTGAATTAAAATATACAGTCCAATTGGGCCTAAGATATTGTGGATTCTACAATACAGGAAAATAATTTATTCTATTCCTTAGATCTTGGCTGGTAGATGATTGATTAATGCTCTGCGATAAAAGTTGGAAATAGACATTACCATATTGGCTGGTTGATATACTGATCGATTATTATCTAAATCTAATTGCTCTACAGTCAATACCAGCTGCCGCAAGGTATTCATTTTTTCTAATACGATATCAAGACATTTAATCACTATTTGTTTTATTACTGTTAATTCGTGAGTCGTAAATCAATAAAAGGTAAAAGATAACTTTATTTTTTTAAAGCAATTTTTCTTAATTACATTATACTGAAATAAGCAAGGTAAAGAAGTAGGTTATATTAGGCTGCCAATTTAACAGAGTCAAAAAGGGGTTGTACACAAAGTAACACCTTAATTAATATATTAAGTAACCCATTGTATCAGGCCTCTGAAAAATGAGAAGAACAGTAATATTAGTAATGAAAGAGTCATAATATAAATACGAAACCTAGAGAGCTATCATAGACCTACAAACGAATGTATCAGCAGTATTATTAAAGGGTTTACTATGAGTAATGAATGACTAGTGTAGAGCATTAAGGTGTCAAGGTAAGAATTTTTATAACCAAGAATTCTGAATTCGCATAAAAACTACGTTTTTAGAATAGAATAAGGCATATTATTGTATACAGTATTGTTACGTCAAAACGCTTTAACCATTAGTTAGGTGATTGACACAGCCATTGCTAACGTTTTAACTACATATCATTAGTAAATCAGGGCACTCGGTCTCTAAATCTACTGCAAATAATGTCTAATATTAAGTGTGTAGAGCACTTTGCTATATAACAGTTGAATAAAACGTACCATGCTAAATCAACAGTTTTTACTTTCTTTATTTTTAAGCAGTATCAATTCCTAGCTCTTCTGGTGTACTAATGCCTAATTCAGCTCTGACTTCACTTGTCTGGTCTAATATATATGGGTAGATTTCCTTGTTGGTACCAGCTTTGTCTTTAACTACCTCCAGGATACGAACTGGTATAGCAACGTCATTTAAACGTCGAGCAGCTCTAAATAAATAGCATAGGAAATTAGTCTATATGGAAAGAAGTAGTTTCTATAAGCAGTTCAATTATAAATTATTTGTCCAAGAAAATACGTCTACAATACCTAAATGCAGCATTTAAAATTTTGGGCTCTGGAACCAAATCGTAACCAAAGAGTTCATCTAAACCTCTGCGGTAAGTATTTCTATCTAAGTTTTCATTCTTAAAGAATGCTTCCCAACGAGCATCGAAAACCTCATCGGGTTCAGAATCCACTTCAGCACCAATTAGACGTCGTTGTAGTAAGTTTTGACTTGCAACGGCAGCTATTTGGATAGATTACAAAAATGAAATGGATTAGCGAAGAATGAAATTTTACATGGTGGTGTGGGCTATTAGTTTGTAATATACACTAGTTGGGTTGATACATGTAGGAAGAAATGACAGATTTTAAAGACAATACGTCAGACTGCAGATGATATGTCAAAGCATGTCATGATTAATTTGCAGGTAAAGTCAGGATATTATGCAATTAATAATATTTCAAATAAGGCTAAAAAGAACCTACGGATGAATCTACAACACCGTCACGGCAGAGTCTCGAATTAATAAAGTATAGTGTACAATGATTGTAAAAATTAGTTGCGCGTTGGGGTCATGTAAAATTGACTGTATTATTAGGTACTGATTGTTGCTGAATATATAGAATACCAAAGATCAGGTTGAGCGGTGATTTTTTTAAGGCAGCTTTCAAATAAAGTCCTATTTGGTTACAATAACTTTATCAATTGCAAAAGACTGCCTGAAATACAAGCACAAGTGGATTTTCAATGCTGTCATAGGGAACCGCCGTTAAGGATTGCGGCGCGGATATCCAGTTTAACGCATTCGTAGTAGCAGGAGTAGTAGGCGTCGACAAAAAGTGCAATCAGACTTTGTTTCACCTAATGCCGTTGGCATTTCTGCAATATACAGTACAGTAGACTGCAGTACCTCAGGTCTACAACGGCCAAGACCTAAATGGAATTATTGTCATTTGTAGCATCATCTTCCTATCTGATAGAATCTAAAGTAGGTTAAGAGTTTTTGAAATCGTTCATAGTCTCCAATTAAGCAGCAGGTATAGCAGACAAAACAAGATCATGCTGTAAAGTAAGCAACAGTCTACTGTAACACTGTTTAATACGCCTTGGTACACCGCCTGCGGGTTAACGTAATCCATCGATTGAAGTCATCGTTCTCCTCGCTGAAAAAATTAATTTAACGATTGCGCTAGCCAAGTCATTGAAACCAGTACAGTAAGTTTATACAAACAACATATCAATGTTTTATAATTTTGAACATAAACAGAAAGATTATATGACTTTACGATACATTCAGAACTGGTGCCATTTCGGAGATAAAAATACTCTTATTGGACGCATAGAATGGTCACGTTGGTAACGTAAGTGGTCGTTTGGATGGAAATACCCAACGCTTATGGCACCATTCCAACAACAAGAATGTTACACGAGTATCATTTTTGCTTTAGGAGCCATCTCCTCAAGACGATAGCAATTCGATACCGCCATTTCGACATGAATTATTAATCTGCGGTAACTGCATCAATATGCCAGTCAATCACTACTCCGCTACCAAGAAAACATCCTTCCTTCACGTTTAGTGAGTAAAATCTGAGAATCAGGGTAATCTATAGCTAGGCTTTCAATGGACAGTAGTGATGTTGTATTTCACAAGGTGAAAGGATTGCTTTCTTTATGTAGCAATGACGGTCTACACTTTTTACGCTAGTATGAAAAGTCGAGCAAACAAGTTCAACTAAACAACGCCATACACTCTCTCTCTACAGTACAAATGCATCATTACTCTACGCTACTAATCAATTTCCTATTTAGAAGGAGAAGGATGAAAAAAGACCTATTACATCGTCATAAACCCTATAAGCTCTTTGAATTTCGAAAGATTTTCATAAACGATTGCATAGACTAGACTAGCGGTGGAGACGGCGACTGATGTCAATACAGCAGTTGGCGTTTTTTTTATACCGCCAATCAAGGAATCAATCCATCATTTGGACATTCATTTAATTAGACTAGTGCAATCAAGACATTGTCATCATTTACCATAGACTTGCGGCTTGTTACCAGTAGGCAAAGTTGATCTAACTGCACGACCGCTAGCACTAGATAACCGAGAAAGAGCAAGACGAAACATGATGAAGACGAGCTCAAAAAAGCAATATGGCTGACAACTGGCGTGGAGAAACTTTCAAGCCAAATGACGCATGCGCAATGCTAGCCGAAACTAGGGTACCGTGGTTTGACGCTCACGTCCACAAAAACCCACCTGGTCCAGACTTGATGGCTTGGTGTATGGAGATCGTGGAACCATGTACACAGTACAGTATAGGACAGCAGGTAAACACCGCGCACTATACTCGCGGTGGTGTCGTGTCTCGTCGGATGGCTGTCCGAGGTTCGGTTCGGAACCGTCAGGTCTAACTGGACGTACTGGCAGGGACATCACGTGACAGCAACCCTTAGCATAAGCTATGCGCATGCGTATCCCTTTTCTAAATCAGCAGCAAGAACAATGGCAGTTAATGTACTGTACTGTAGAATGTAGATGCTGGTGACAGACAGGGTCTACTGACGGACGACGACGACCACTGCAAAAGCTGGAAAGGAGAAAAGGACTTGACCATGATAATGAATTATAATCATTATGGACATGGCGGAAAGCAGCAAAAGAAGCAAAAGCCGACCATTTTTTTCACTCATTTTACAATATGCTATGCCTGTAACCGTATGCCATACTATGCAAAACTATAGACTACTAGAAATATCCTGCACCTGGACTGGACAGTGGACAGTCTCTCCTCGGGTGGACGGACTTTTCATACCAAATGCGATCGAAAATGTCCCAAAATAGTTACTCAATATGGATCTTCCGTGTTTCTTTCTCTAAATCACTCGTATTAATTCCAATAACATGGATTATCATGATCTAAAGTTACTATAGCTTAGGAACAGGCAATGCAATACAATATAATATTACCTACTGTAATTTAAAAATAATCAGTCCATTCAGAATCGACTGTCTACATACTGAAGTAGTGTCATAATGAAATGTTTGGCACAATCTGTTGACCAAAGTTGGCCATATGTCTGTCCGCCCAAAGAGTTCCAGTCCCGGACGGGACGCGACACTCAGACAGTTTGGGTATTCTTGTTCGGCAAAACTAACCTGGCAGCTAATTTGCAGCACGGAATTACTGTAACATATAGACATCTATGCTGTGCTGCAGCATTGCAATCTAAGCTAACGACAGTTCACATTCAATAATGCAGGATCATACGATATCCAAAGTGTTAAAAATAAATATAACATTAGAGAGAATTCTTAATTTGATTTATTTTATATCCCTCAATTAGTGTAATGTGATTATAGAGTAAAATTAGATAGAAGTAACAACAACTTTCAACTATTGCACTGTACTTTCAAACATTGTAATACTCAATACGTTAGGATCAAGGGATTTGATCTAATTGAATATATACCATACACTAAGTATTCATACGGCAACGATGTGATATAATCTGAGGAAACTTCGTATATCTGACACATAGTAACTTGATTTATACGTGTACATCACCGGCACTCACATACTTTTTACATCCTCTGCTGAAACTTAACAACGAACTTTGCAGTTGCAGTGCATAGATGTTAATATAGCATCCACGAATATAGACAATTGTGCTTACATGAAAGAACGTTGAATACTTTCTTAGTAAGCAGGCAACGGGTATTGTTTCCCCTTCCTGATCATGTCATTTTAGTATTACTCAACTGTAGTACTAAATTTATATATATCCCTCAATTATTATGCACTGTACTATTCTGAGCGTAGATATTCAAAGTAAGATAAAATGAGGTAATGTACAACCTTTATTTTGCGTCTATCATTAAAAGTAAACTTGGTTACAGTCCTTGGAAACAGGGCGCAATTAAACCAACGAAAACTTATCTGGCAATAATATTGAAATAGATATATCCAAGATAGCCCTTTACAATGAAAATGAAGACAAATAGAAGTACAATAGTACTTATTGTATCTTACTGATATACAATTAACAGATATACATATTAAAATTTACTTTAAAATGCCATCCATAAAACGTATTTCCGGTAATTAATTTACATCGTAATTTACTTGGTAATAGTTATAATTAGTTAAATTAGCCAACGTTGCATCCAAAGCAATGTATATTTAGCAAAATACGATCTGCTATACAGAGCGCACATTGATATAGGGCGATTGAAATAACAAATATCATATTACCGATCAATGTTGCGATTCAGTTTCAGGGGACATCTACCCAAATTCAAAATTTTTTAAAAAGTAACATATATTTAAATAAATTACTTTCAGTAATTAATTATACCCTTCATATCTAATACCAGCTCAACAAAATTATAACATACACATTTGTTTTGAAATATTATCGTACCGAAGGGAACTGAAATCGTCACCTAAGAGAATACGGTTAACTTGAACGAAAGTAACAGACTAATTAAATTTGCATGGTATTTAAATTAGTCCATTAAGCCAATGGTATCGATATGAATTACATGAAGGGAAATTATGTGCGTTAATTAATCAAAATGCAGACGAAAATTTCTTCAGTGCAGCGAACGGATACACATAATTTTACGTATACATTTGTAATATTACTAATATATATACGAATATAATTATACACCAGCAATCACCTATAAGTAACATGATAATCTTCTAAAGCACGGAAAAAAAAATAACTAAAGAGACGTAGAAGATAAAAATTCGAGAATACAATGTAATTTAATGGTAAAGCATTGGTTATTGGCGAGATAAATTGGGAAAATCAAAAGATTCAACGGAAAATTTAATCTCTACGATGCAAAACAGAGTATCATTAACGAGGTACTTATAAATATTTATAATTTCGCTATGAAAATCAATTGAAAGTTCGCTATTAAGTCAATATCATAATTTACTAACATGATAAAAAATGAATACGATATACTGTTATACAACATCAGAGATTGCCCAAGTAGTTGTAACTTAGTTCATAAATTATTTTCAAGAATTAAACGTTAAAACGCTCGTTTGATTGCCACGAACTAACAACACTGGACAAGGCAATGGGCCTGATATAGTCTCTAGCCAACTCATATATACGGATGGGGGACAGAAATTTTTCCGTGGTACTGGTAACGTGCTGAGTAGAGTTGAAAAATAAAGAAAATCAATACGGCTGGAATATTTCTTCACATTCCCGAAAGGCAAACGTTTATTTAGTTCGCAATGTACATTCGATAAAGCAAAGTAATCTCTTAGACTTACATAACGACTAGGCTAGCTTCCATAGAGTGGCGAATTAATAGCTCACTTAATTTAATGTGTATTTTGGTCTGATAAAATTGGAAGATAAAAAATTTTTCATTAAAATTTTTAATTAATTATTTTTCAACTACTTATCTTGGCTTACTTACTTTATTTTCTATATCAGAGTTACCAAAAATATGTCCCAGTGAAGGAAATGATTGACAAAATCTTGACATGCTAAAAAGTTAACGTAACATGCCAATTCAGACACATTTTATCATAGCAGTATTATTTACGTTATCATGTAATTGGCTAGAAAATCTAACGTAAGAAAAAAATTACCTCTCTTCAGATGGTTCTTCATTTATATCGCCTACTGCTATCACATTTTCGTATTCGATACGGAATTTTTTTAGTAGTATAGTCATCCTATCAAGTCAACATCCAGGATACGATATTAGAGTGTGCTAAACAATGATAACATCGTTTATAAAATAATGTCCTTTTGGTATTCAAAAAATTATACTATATTGTCCTAAATTCTATTAACCCAATCATAGTATCACGTAGTTTTTCCGGTTTTCCAGGTGTGAATATTCTCAATTTACAGTTCGACCATCGCTTACTTAAGCTCAACAAGTAAGGAATTAGAATAGTTAACCCTGTTACATATTGAGAAGCCATTAATAAAAACCAGATATTAATTCAATAAATTCGACATTCAAGCTACAATTGCTTAGTGCACTATCACCATTAGCAAAAAGACACATTTTATTACCTCCATCATCGTAAATCCACCATATATCAATTACACTATCTATTTTTCGAACTTCCTTCAGCTGAACGTACTTATCTTCTACAGGTTGCTTAAGTAGCTCCTTAAAGTTATTGCTTAATTTACTGTCACTCTTTCCTGGTTTATTATGAGAAAGTACGCCTAATAGTAGAAAAAATGCGTTTACTTTTAACAATGTAGAGTAATCAATCCTAGCTAAGCCATTCTCATAAACAAATAGCTAGTTACTAATGTCTACTGACCTCTACCAAAGTCTACTACTTCACCGCCCAAGTTGTTGCCTTCTTTAGTTCGATTGCTGCAAAAACGTACACCTATCAATGTGAAAGGTATTTATGCTACATTTTAGTAACATGTTTCTTGTCAATTATGAAATACTGCATAAACCGAATTACAGACCTTCTCCTGACTCCTGTAAATTCTTATCGAAGTTGTTTTCGCCTTTGTTATCGGATAACAATACCATTAGTGATATCTCACTTTAATGGTTAACTGTTATAAATGTAATTAAGCACAAAAGTAAATCTATAACGAATAGAATGTGACCTGTATAGTTACCTTTTTCTTTCTCTAATCTATCACGAAAAATTGCTACACCAAAGTTTAAATCGAAGGCATCACTATAACAGTTCAACAAGTTTAATATAAGATTTATATTTCAGTTACATAAGAAGCGGCATTGCGTAAACTACTATTTTTAACGATATGAAGGCTATAAACTATTCATAATTCATGTCACACACTGTATTATTGCAACGTAATTCTCGATTCTATCATCCCGATTCTGCCAATTTTCCAAGAATCCAAATAAAATCATGTTAGGCGATAATTTTCCTAAACCTGATGCTTGCATTAATGCTCTCGCACCCAAGATAAAGTCTGTGCTAGTGACGGTTGTTACAACTGCTTTAATCTGTTTAACCATCAAGGAATCGTTAGCATCGTACAATTTTTTAAATAACCGTTACAGTATTTGTTTATAATTATGACAAGTAGTAAATATTATAGATAATAAGTTGCTATTAAGATTTTGCTTTGTATAATCATTTTACTACTAAACGATCTCTAGTAATTTATGAACAAAATTACCTTATTTTCTTGAAGAATTTTATACTGATCTTTCATATCAGTATTAGACTTTTCCTAAGGTTATGTTATATGTGTTAGTAACAATTATCGAAAGAAAGACATTATGATCAGCGACCCATGAAAGCCATCATAATAATCGATCTACTTTCATCGATATACAGTACGCGTATATATATTACACGGTGACTACACCTACCTGCATAACATTTCCACATATTAGTAATCCATAATTATTAGTAAAATTCGAAGCAAATTTTACAAGAGGTAGTCTTTCAGATGGAATTCCACATAACACGAGACACTGAGGCCTAGATTATCCATCGACGTTACAAAATTGTTTCCCGTTAACAATACATATTAGAACAATTTCTAGTCCTATAACTAATTACCTAAAATTCTTGACATGGCTGACTGTTGTATTTAGTTTATATGCAGCATCTAACGCATTAATGTATTGACGAGCATGGCCAGATGAGCCCCAGTTGACAACTAAAATATTTTACATAAGATACTGCATTAAATCATATAAATTTATGATCATTCATTTGTTTATTAGCATGCAAGAGTTGCTATTTTTCACCTGGTTTCGAATAATCAATATACTTGTAGAGGCCAATAACGACTGCAATTGTAATCAATGCCGCCCACCAATTAATAACAAACATAACTGCAACACATGTTAAAGCACCAACAAGAGAACACCACTTAGAATAAAATTTGAAAGAGGGTCGCCAACCTAGGGAATAATAATATAATGCGTCTGTATTTTTAATACAATGTATAAGAAAGGCCATTAAACTAAGTGAAAATCAGAGACAGCTATGCTATGCTATGAACTACATACTGTAAGTCTGTAACATAAAACTTGCAAAATATTATTATTAAATTTACAAAAGGGCATACCAGGAGAACGCGCTTGTGATGCATCAAAGCATGAATAATTGATTAATGCATATGCGATCAGAAAGAAATTGGAAATGATAGGTGCTATATAGTTTAACTCAGCTGAAACATCGACAAAAGAATTTGCTTAATATTCATTATTATGTTATAATATAAAATTATTATTTCCATCTAGTTTATAATACTAATTAATATTATGTAGTATCCAGTACCAATAGCGATGAAGATCAAGGCAACAATATAAGTTAATGCAATTCCTCTGCGAGGTTCATTTCTTTCACCATTACCAACACTAAAAAACTCCAAATATGGAAATAGTCTATCCGCTCCCACTGCCTGAAGAAACAAAAAATTTTCTTTATTTTACTAATTTACTATTGTACTAGATTTATTATACTGAATGCACACAAGTATCTAACGAATTGTTCTCTTGTATACCTGTAAAATATTCGGAGCGCCAATCATGCTAGCTAAAGCTGACGAAATTGTTGCTGCAAAAATACCTAATTTGTACAATATGATCGAAACGGACCAAAATATCAAAATACTCGCATTATACCTATAGCAGAATAACCTGATTATAGTCCATAAAATAGCGTACGAAGTAAACGCGTAAGTGTGAATTCGTTTAACAAACAAGATTTTATCTACATACGCTCAATGATATAAGTGTACATCAAAGTTTAGGTTCAAAACATAAAATAAAATAGTCAAGAAAAATACCTGCAGCAGTAAGAGGCTCCCAACCAGATATCATACTTGCGACCTATTAGATGATAACATTTTGACAATTATTTTCATTAAAAAGATTCGATACCTGTTGAAGGTATTGACTAGGATTGTATTCATTAATTCTCTTGTATTAAAAGGACGGTAAATAATTAGCCAGTTCAAATAGTATTACATTGTATAGTAGTATTCCATCAAAAGGTTCAATATCGTGTCATATCAAATGTAAACACTTTAGATTTATAGTCAAGAAACTACCTGATTGTCATATCGAAGACCATATCTACACCCCGCTGTACAGTTTAATGAATAAGTATTATTGCTCGAGGAAAATATCGTAGATCGTTCAACAGCTGATCCAAATAAGCATGCTAATCCCAAATAAGCAATTGTACTGATCAAAATTGCTAATAAAGTTCCAATCGGAATAGACTTTGACGGCTCCTAGTATCGAAAATAGTTAATTTATGACATAGTGTAAATGATAATTTGTGATCTAAGGTTATTTCGAAATGGACGTATGATCAATTACAACATCTTATATTCAGATCTTCCTTAGTATACCTTTAAATTAGCAGAAATATTTGCACCAGCGAGAATACCAGTAGCAGCTGGGAAGAAAACTCCAAAGACAGTAAAGAATGACTCAGTAGGTGAAAATTTCGGCGCGGTATTGTTAAGAAAGGTGGCAGCTGTATAGTTAAAATTAATCAAGTCAGATATTGGTTAAAACGTCGTATAATTCTGAAATATTCAATATACAAGTATACGTACATGCATATATGATAAATATCAGAAATCTACTGTACGTTATTAAAGCAACCCAATCAGGTACAATTTTTGTTCACATAATATTAAGCGCTCAGAAGTAGCAAGATAGCGAAGCTGTATAACCGCACGATATAATTAAATTAGTATACCACTTAATCCTGTGAATCCACGAGCGACTTTATCAGCGGGCATAATAAATGAATACATGATAGAGCCAACAATACAATTTAAGATAGCAGCAATCAGCAAAACGAACAGAATAACCTGGGCCTAAATGTAAATTCAAAATATCGTAGCGCACAAGTCAATAAAAAATAGATTGACAAGGCGTAATAAATATTTTTAACTTGTGCATGACTAAATTGCATATCACAAGATAAGATAAGCAAATTAATAGTATAAAATAGAAGTCACTCAGAAGCTATTTTTCGTGAATATTGATGAATGATAATATTTATGTAAGTATTTTATTACGTTGACATATATCTATACGCACCTTCGATTCCCATGCAACACCTGACATTGCAATCGCAAATACGATTGTGGCCGCAATGACTCCAATTATACGAACGTCGTTAATCTCGTCGACTAAAGTTATATTTATTGCCTACAGTTGCATCAAAACGAAAGACATTATATCAGCTATGTGTACCCCATTAAGGAGTTTTAAAGTCCGAAATCAACATTTAAATCTCAAATTGTTCAAAATTTTTTATTTTCGTACTTTGAGGTAATCTTTTACTGATTCGGCAAAACCGACGATATACAGAGCAACGCCGATTGAATTGGCAGCAGAAAATACTAATCCTATAGCTCCACCTTATTTAATTAGTTAGTTAACTATTAATAACGAGATATCATCTCTAGAAATTTTTAAATATTGAAAACATTAATTGCAACACAAATCTGATAAATACCGAATTGCGGCCCTAAACTTCTTGAGATTAAATAGTATGCTCCACCTGTAGATCACATTGCAATCGTGTAAGTACGCATTTTGATTTTAAACCGCCAATGATCATACTTTGTATGAACTTACCTCCCTTTACTTCTCCATTGCTACAAATAGCAGACATTGATAAGGTAGTAATAGTAGTTACTGTTGCTGCTAATAGAATTATGAGGCACGCAAATCCTGCAAGAGTATTTAATTTATTGTCGTATCAGTAATAGTTCACGTAAGTATGGCATAATTTCCTTCATGAAATATATATACAGGTTTATCAATATTGTATTTCTAGAGCGCTCTATATTCCATATCATGGCTAATATGTTGCAATTATTATGAAAAGGTTTACTGTTGTCGTCAGTAAGTGATGATTGAGTTGTAAATGCAGCGTAAATTGTAGTGTACATACGAAAACTTTACGCTGTAGCAATTAAATATGATTATAATTAACGAAGTTAAAAATAAGTCTGTAACATGGGTGTTGAACATACTTTTTAATGTAGAATTACTGTACTCGTATCTATCGTAAGTGAACATATGTTGTTATATTTATATTGCAAGAAATCGTAAGTACTATATTTGCATAATAAACTGTGCAGGATAAATACTACAATGTGCTACAATCATTACATATCTATTTCTAGTTGCAGTTTTATTGTTAATAGATATAGGACATGTACTTTAATTAAGAGGAGACATATGTAGTCACAATATTGCATCTGATGGTAAGAGTTGATACGCGAACTCGTCTATATTTAGTATTTAAATACATATATCATAAATTAATTAACATACCGATACCAGCTTCACCTACAACCCATGAAAGTCGCAAGAAGAGCATCACTCCCCAGATGTTTAACAAACATCGAATCTAAAAGTATCCAATTAACAAATGTAGTTATACTGCAGTTGTTAACTAATTAAAGTTATGTGTCTATTTGTTATCCCGAATCAGTTTAAAGATAGGTAAGCTAAATAGTGCTAAGATATTATTCAAGATCATAATTTATAGTTTCTACAGTAGTAGTGCTACATTTATAGAGTTCTGAATATATATCAAGGATTACTTAACTATAAATTTAACGGTTAATTGTAATTGTTTATTAATGACAGACACAGTTAAGTTAATCTATAGGATATTACCATCATCATGCTGCCCAGTTTAACTATTGCTATTGATGGCATTGTCTATTTAGATAGTTACAGTACGATATGATTTCGATTTTGTAAGTCGAGTTATTACAGTCTGATAGGTTATCCACTAGTTTTTTTCTCTTAGCTGAACGAAATTTGCTTACAAATAGTTAAAGTGTTGAAATCAGTGAGTCTAGCCCAATTGCTAATTAGCATATTATACTACTGATAATTATAATCTATACCAAAACTCCTTGAATCCAACCAAATTTACTGGGACCTTCCGGTTGTGTGCCACCAGCATCAACTGATTTCGATTTCTCCATCTTTCTTACCCTTCCTTCTTCAACATTGGTACCCTGATTAATAATGAATAGATTCAATCGACAGTTTTGTATAGTCTATTTAGTCAAGACAGCGGACGAATTTTTAATAGCACAAGCAAGAACGGCGGCATATTTACACTTCTTTATGTGTATCGAATATTCTATCAGTACGAAAACACCAAAGGTATATGCGCACAAGCCTATTCTTCACTATTGTATATTTGTGTACAGTACTTTAATCTTAACAGTAATTGTCAATATCATCGCTATTTTAATCCGTAGAATTATTAAAGTGATGTAGTTATTTGACCGTCTAAAATAATAATCATTGACAATATGAGTCTATCGCACTGCCATCATTATAATCTTTCTACATCATCTACTCTTCTTGCTAGAAAGAAATAGAAAAGAAAACTTTATATGTTCTATCAAGGCGGTGAATATTTTGGAAAAGATTTCCATTTCTGTTACAGTCTTGACAGTGAAAACAATTTATGATTTCATTTTATCTATACCCATTTGGGTATAGTTGTTTACTGCTATCAATACAATATAGTGATTAAAAGTATTCATTTATTACCACTCTTGGCTCATGAAGATCTTGCAAAGTTGGTCGATTTCGACGTGTATCACGCGATGTTAACGTTTGCTTATAATACGTCATCATAGGTAAGGCATCCGTAGTGAAATAAGAACTATTTAAGGCAGTAAATTGAAGAGTCTTCTGGTGTTCATCAGCGTTACTTGATGCATGTGATCGAATATCATCATTTTCCTCGGTTGATTCGATGATTACATTCTTCTTAACCCGAAATTTACTGTTGACTAACTCGGATTTTTGATCCATGCTTTACTAGCTGTTGTTATTAGTTAATAATTGGCAATCTAGCCAAATTCCCTGCCTAAATGTGTCCTAGAGTCAAGCAAGTTGGCATAATCTTAATTCATTTTTTAGATTAGTGTAACATCGATTGTCTCCCAGCTACGAGTGAGTATCTACAGTAGAGATATGTCTAGATGATGCTTACTTTTATATGCCAATCAACAGCAGATCGAATAGTTTCAATTTTTGTCTTACTTACAGTTTAATAGAGCCCCAAGCAAATGATTCATTTGTTTTTAGGACAAGGAAATGATTCAATAAAACGCCGCTGGAAACGCTAATAAAGGAATTGTAATTTATATATTGGGACTGTTTGGCGGTTTAGGCAGGTACGGTTACTTAACTTTAAATAAGTAATACAGATCTTTGCCTCAGCGTACTTTAGTGACATTAGTTATACAATAGTTGGGCCTGCGCAGTGCTGCATGGTACAGCATACGATACTGCACTATACTAGAGTCCTTAATAAGGATACTGTACTCCGGGTGTTGGCAAAACAGAGCCAAGTCTAAAGGAGAGCTGTGCAATATAGCTGTCATCTCATTAAGAGAGCGTTTTTATTCATTAATCTGTCGTATCATAGGATCAAAAAGAAATGGAAAGACATGACAATATTTTTGCACAGTACGACATGACGTCAATTGGATTATACGAGTGCACAGGTGATGTCGAGGGCGCGGCTTGAGATGAATGAAGTTAATTAATTAATATCGATTTTGCAAAATAAACTTATTTAAAGTCATAAACGATTGGAATTAGCGCTGTAAAGTAGGTTGGCAATGACTTTTAATGTGATAGCGAGCACACTAGCCGGTGTTATAGATTTATTTTGGGCTACTGCGAGTGTGACTATCATATGAAAATACAGTAATAAATACGATGGGATGGGGATAAGAATATTAAATTTTTGCGAAGGTCTCATCTACGTATGCAATCAACTACTCGAAAAAGAAGAGAGGGACTGGATACGGCAGAAAGCTGCAAAAAATGTGGAGGTCGACTTTTTTTTGCAGTCATTTAACAATAAACTGCAGCTGTAACTTTGCACCGTACTATGCAAAACCAGCCAGGCAGCTAATTTGGAGCAGGCTCCTGTACGGTATAGCCTACGATTACCGATGGTCAGTACAGTTGAAATGACTAGCAAAAAAGTCGGCCTACACATTTTTTACAGCTTTCGTCCATGCCCTGTTCCTTTCTCTTCTGTCGACTACACTGGACAGATTAGCACTCTTCTAGTATAGCAATAAAAGATATCATTAGATATTTGCAATACTTTTGCCACAGCTTTCGAAAACCTATGCCATAATGTACGTCACGGTCAACTGCAATGATAACAATTTTTATTACTTCTATCATGGTATTTCAATAGAAGATCAATATTAGAGTGGATAGTTACATGAAAATTATAATTGCAAATAGACGAAATTACAGTTAATGGAAAAAAATATAAAAGATTTTTTACACACCAATGATGACACAAAATTTTCTATATACTGTATTATTCAATACGCGTATAGGATAGAAGCGTGTATAACTTTCCACATGTTAAATATACAGCGTAGAGTATTGCGTAAAAATTGTGATATAAGTACTAATTACAGCGATGTATTGCAGTCTTACATGTGGTATTTATCGTCTTCATGTGAAACTGAAACTTTGTAATTTAATACAAGTAAAAATTTTTGACTATTCAGTATAAACGTAAATACAGGATTTGAACGACAGGAAGGTATGTGTATCAATACATTATCAAATCAGCAAATATATTTTCAGTATAAATTCAATTATAATTATATATCAGATAGGCTTGTCTGATGAAAATATAACAATGATAATTGCACAGCAAAATTAAAAGTACTGACTTAAATCCGCTAATAAGATATAGTGCATCGCATTACGAACAACGAGCTATCTGAGACAGCATAATAGCATCTTAATGTTTTTATCTTGAATTCTTTTAAATCTTAATCTTGTTGAAATACCATACACGTATGCATATACTGTGCAGAAGCAACTTAAGGAGATATTGAAGTATATGATAGGAAAGTTTTAAATTTCATACTTCTCGTGTTAGTATCGATTTTTTAACTATAATCACTACTTAAGAATTAAACGTTAAAACATTAGTTTGGTTTCCACGTATCATTAATACCGGACAAGTTAGTGAACCAGATATAACCTCCAACCAACTCATATATTTAGTTGCGGTACAGACATTCTTACGAGGTATAGGTAAGGTGCTAAAGAACGATTAAAACATATTTCGTTTAAAAAGTCTTACATCAGGCTCAATGATAATATAATAAAATAATACATACATAACTACCAAATTTGATCCGGCAGAATGCTTCAATAACAATTCGCCAATTTTGATGTGTCTTTTAGACTGTTTAACGGTATTAATAGTTTGCAGTTAGTTCGATGCAATAGAAATAGTTCAGTATGAACGATCTTAACTTACTTTATCATCCAGCTCCAAGTTATTATCACAATATTCGCAGTCAGCAGAGAGTTCCCGAAAAAGGGATATGCTAAAATTATATAAACGTTATTAACTTTAGCAATTATACGACGTATGTCCGTATTATTATTGACTATCACAATTTCAATACTGTACCTCTCCTCACAAGGTTCTTCATTTATATCACCCAAGGCAATTACATTTTCATAATCTATGCGAAACTTTTTCAAAAGAGTTGCCATCCTATTGGGAGGCAGACACAACGGTTGAAGTTAATAAGAAACTTATTTTTAACATAGGGAGATAAAAATACTCGTAGTATACATAACAACCGAAATTCGTATAATTTAATGGTCAGTCATTACTCGATTAGCTCATTCCAAGTTACTATTTGTTTATACATGTCTATTCCACAAAAATTTTACACAAACATTATCTAGCATCTAGATAGCATGGTATGCGATTAGACGTTTTGGGACACGGTATCATTCAGTAACATCGATATTGGAACTTCTACAAAAACTTCCCTAGGACTTCATTTTAATCCGTGCAATAATGTACACACAACAAGTTGAACTTGCCAGAGTTCGAAATTTCATTACATTTCCTACTACTTTGATTCAATTCAAGAATTACGAATGTCTAACTACTATAACTACCTAATCATCGTTAGCTGCAGTCTCTCTGGCTTTCCAGGGGTTAATACTCTCAATTTGCAATTTGACCAATATCTGCTTAGGCTTAGTAAGTAAGGGATCAAAACAGTCAAACCTATAACAAAACCAAAATTAAAACTTTTACAATGTAACTAATATGGGAATACTACAGCATTCTCGATGTCTAAAATGAATATTAACAATTGCAAACGGAATTACAAGTAGTAAGCCATAATTTATTTACCCCCGTCGTCATAAATCCACCAGATATCAATTACGTTTTTTCTTTTGGGTTTATCTTTTAATTGAGTAAAGTTATCATCTGGAGAAAGTTTTACCATTTCTGTTAAGATTTCATCCAAACCATTTTTACTTTCGTTAGTATTTCGGGTGGAGTTTTCAGCTTCATAATAAATTTTATATAAATTTTATTTAAAACGTCTCAACATGATTTAGAGAAATCACATTATAGGTGTAGACAAAAATAATTAAAATAATACTAGTATATGCCATTTTAGTTGTACAATGTACAACATACCTTTATTAGGTACCATGGAAATATTATTCTTATTTCGAAATATCGCTACCCCAAAATTTAAATCAAACGCATCGCTAGAAATTGTTTAAAATTTCTCTTAATTTTATTCCGAGTGTAATGAACTAAGTAGTACAGAAATGAGCAGAAAACATGACATTTTTTCTTACTGGATTATATTTACATAATCGTCCACCAAAGTAAGACGATTTTTCCAATTTTCCATATATCCGAACAGAATCATATTTGGAGACAATTTGCCTAAACCACATGCTTGCATTAACGATCTCGCACCAGAAAGTAAATCATTGCTGGTCACCGATGAAATAAAAGCTCTGATCTACAATGAAATAGTACATTCATTTAGTGCTACTAATTTACAGTTACGATTGATAACAATTTTCATTTAAAATAATAAAATAATTGAGAAATGAGTTCAGCTTTACTTTCATCTGCTGCAAGATTTCATACTGCTCCTGCAAGCGTTCTCGAGCCTTTTCCTAATTGATTATCATCATTTATCACTTTATATTCTTCAATAGTTTTAGAATGATTCAAGCTATCTAGAAAAACATTTTAAGAATTATATTGACTCATACCGGCTGAATAATACCACAAATTAATAATCCAGTGTTGGTTGTAAAGTGCGAGGCAAACTGAACGAGATTTCTTCTTTCAGATATATTTCCGCAAAGTACAAGACACTGTGGGCTAGACATCGATAATAATAATACCAGCTATCTTCAGTTACAACAGCATGGCAAAATGTTGAACAACGAAAACAGTTGATATCTACCGAAAATTTTTGACATGGTCAAGAGTCGCATTAAGTCTATATGCGGCATTTAATGCGCTGACGTATTGACGGGCTTGCACAGACGAACCCCAATTGACCTCTAAATATTTCAGTAAAATCGTTTCTCGTTATTAATAGCTATTTTAGATATTGAAAAAGGTATCTATCAAATCAATGCTTCAAGATGTACCTGGTTTTGTATAATCAACGTATTTATATAAACTAGCAACGAAACCAATGGTTATCAAGGCAGCCCACCAATTAATTACAAACATCGCACCAATGCAGAGCACAGCGCCAAGAAGTGAACACCATTTGGAATAATATTTGAATGATGGCCGCCATCCTATCAAAGTATTATTTAAATAATTTCTTTCAATGAATATCATCCAACTTACTAATTAAATTACAGTATTACTATCATGTTAAAAAGAGAAAATGTAAGAAAGTAAAAGACGGTTCATAAAAATTTTTCCGACTACATTTGCTGTACCTGGTGAACATGCTTGCGATGCGTCAAAGCATGAATAGTTGATTAATGCATAAGCGATTAAAAAAAAATTTGAAATGATCGGAGCTATGTCATTGAGGTCTCCTAACAAAAAATTGAAAATTAGAGCTAACGGTATGCTTATATATTATTTTCCAAGCATAAATCTATATTAGATAAGGTAAATATAACGTAGTTGTATCATGTACCATACCTATGGCAATGAATGCCATCGATATAGCATACGTAAGTGCATATCCTCTACGAGGTTCTTGCATTTTTCCATAGCCAACGCCAAATATTTTAACGTATGGAAATAGTTTGTCTTTCCCAACAGCCTTATCATGAGACTAAAATGATTAGATCGATCGTATTCGATTTAAATAAAGCACGTGTGTACCTGTAAAACATTTGGAGCTCCTACCAAGCTTGCTAAAGCCGAAGAAATTGTAGCTGCAAAAATACCTTGAATAATAGTAACGTTAAATGTTAATGGATTATTAACAATAGTGATAATGAAATACTACTCAACTCGATTAGTCATACGTATAGTGTTACAAGGGTTAATTTGTAGCACATTTAAAATATTGAATATACAGTTACCAGCAGCAGTTAAAGGTTCCCAAGCAGAAATCATACTTGCAACCTGTGATTTAATACAGTACATCAATTCAATTTTTCATAATAGGTAACGAAATGAAATCTTGCTAAACTAGAAAGTATCCTTCACGTCACTGCAAAAAAAAATAATTAATTACCTGATAATCACATAGAAGTCCGTAACTATTCGGAAATGTGCAGTTTACAACGTTAATACCATCAGAAGCATAAGCGGTTGATCGGACGACCGATGATGCAAATAGACAAGCCAAACCCAAATATGTGATGGTACTGATCAAAATGGCTGATAACGTTCCTTTCGGTATTGATTTTGAGGGATTCTGTAAAATTACGCATTTACTACTTCTGAAGTAAATAGCAACTCTAATTTTCACCGTTAGATATTCTATCTGTATGTAGTTTTTACCTTTAAAATTGCTGAAACATTAGCACCTGCGAGGATACCAGTTGCAGCAGGAAAGAAAACAGCAAAAATTGTAAAGAATGATTCGCCGGGTGAAAATTTCGAAGGCATATTGGCTAAGAAAGTAGTCCCTAAAATATATGATCATTACTGTAAAGAAACATTGCTATCGTTATTCATAATATAATTGCATGGGCATCTTACCGTTTAGTCCAGTAAATCCGCGAAGACGCTTTTCTTCGGGCATTGTAAAAGAATAAATAATCGGACCAACTATACAGTTTATAATCGCTCCAACCAGTAAAACAAATAAGATGAGCTGGGCCTTATATGATAAGGTAATAATGCATAATTATATATTAATTATTTTCTTTTGATATATTGGACTAAAAGTTCCTACCGTTATAATTTACTTTAATGTCTAATTCGTCAATGATTATATCGCGAACTTACCCTGGCTTCCCATGCTACGCCGATCATTACGATAACAAATATGAGTGTAGCTGCTATCACGCCAATAATGCGAATATCATTAAGATCATCGACTATGACAACGTTTATAACCTAGGATGCATGGAAGAATAATAAAGTATTTAAAAAAATTTTTTGAAATTTTAATAAGATAATCTTCAGTCTAATTTAATTTTAATTGATGATTCCATCAAATTACCTTTAGATAATCTCTCACAGCTTCAGCAAAACCAACAATGTACAATGCTACACCAATAGCGTTAGCGGTGGAGAATATTAATCCTATAGCGCCACCTATATCGCAGAACAAGGACGTAAAATAACTAATCCATGCGCATAATTTAGCTAACATATCGTTCGATTTTAATCGAATTGCGTAAAAAGTACCAAATTCAGGTCCTAAACTTCTAGAAATCAGGTAGTATGCACCACCTTCAAAAGAAACGAACATAAAGTTTTATAACTGAATAGCTAGTATCACAGTAATATATCTTCTAATAAATTTAGATTTATAGAAATACCAATTATATAACTACGTACCCCCTTTTACTTCTCCATTACTACAAATAGCAGACATAGACAAAGTAGTTACAACAGTTATTACTGCCGCTAGAAGAATAATCAGCAAAGCGAAGCCTATCATATGAACCCCAAAACACGAAGGCAATGAATCAGTATCAGTTACGTTACACGCCTATGTTGTTATTTATTAGTCTGTGATCAACTCTAAAACTTTAAAATTTTAAAAATAATATATCAATTATAGGGGTCTTAAATCATATTAGCCAAATATATAGTAATCATACGTGAATCAATCCCCTAGTATAACCCCATTTCTACACACTAGCGTATAACGACCTACAGTACAGTAGAGAATGGGACAGCAATATAATAAAAATTATTCTATTATAAATTCCACGTAACAGTAAGTGAATATACTGTATGTTCTCAAATGAATTCCTCTACATGCACTGTATATAGAAATAAAAAATTCAAAGAATTAAGAATATCTCTAGATGAGTAATACCAATATCAAACCAACTATAAAAAAATTCAAATTTCATATCGCAAGCAAGCTGATACTAGATTAAACTGTTGTCAGATTTCAAAATCACTTACAAGCTATTGTATCGACGTCATAATTGATGTAAACAATAACTCTAATATATAATACGAGTTAAAAAATCGTTGAAGAATTATAAAATGGCAATAATTGTCATTATTGATATCATGAAAGGCAACGGTATTCTCTTGCACATAATACGTTAACATAATACAATGCTATATTAACATGCTCAATTGAATTAATCATAACAAAGTTGACTGCCATTTTGTTCTCCTACCTAGACCGGCTTGGCCAACTACCCAGGATAGACGTGAAAACAACATAACTCCCCAAATATTTAACAAGCATCGAATCTGCATTAACAGAGTAAACAGCGGCGATAAAGTTATTATATCGTAATTGTTTATCAATAGTTTCAGTCAACCTACTGAGGAATAAATGATATCATTAATCAAAGAAATAAAGAACATATTCATTCTTTATGAAGGTTTTTCATACAACATAGAATATGATAAATTAAATCAATCACTTTGCCTTTAACTTAAGAGTGTAAAAAGAGGCGATCGCCTTGTGCACAAAATGCACAAAGTCGCCTGTGGGTAAGTATAAGCATAAAGAATTGCTAGGAAAATTAAAGCTTTGACAAGTAACTGATACAAATATGTGGAAAGCCGAGACCACTAGGGTCTAGTCAAGAGCCACAGGAATCCTTAGTAGCCCATATTACAATATGCACGAGTATATACAAGAAGTGACGACTTATTTCTAGTTGAATGTCGTACTAAATCTTTTTCATTTCCGTCTTAAGTCCACTTTAAGAAGTTTACATTACTACTTTACTTAAGGATCACATTCGCACAGAAACAGATGCGACAATGTATAAAAGTCAGATTTAAGTTAAAAAAAAATATCATACCAGGACGCCCTTAATCCAACCGAATTTTGATGCATCATCAACTCCATTGGTTTTCAACTTTTGAGTTGCCACTGTTTCAGTTTCTCGCGCGGGAGTTTTCTAAATCAGAGATTACTTGTTACGATTGCAATCTTATCCTCAACAGCAATTTATTGACAGAGCAGATCACCGTTACTGTATACGAGTAACTTTGTTTCTAACTCAAGAAAAATTGGTTCCATTCTCCATTACTTGCTCTAACCAATTTATAATATGTGGTATCATGATTACAAGACATTATTCCTAACGCTATCGTATACTGTAGGCAAGGAAATAAGGAATAAATATTGATTGCAAAGTTTTTTTCCTATCGGTATTGAAGTAGCAATAACTAGAAAGTACGAAGAATATCAAGCGGCATGGACGACATTATACTACTATACTTTCTTTAACATGACAATAAGTGTATGAAATAATAGCTATAAAAAAGAATTTATTCTAGTCATACTGACATCTGGACAATGAAGGTCGTCTAACGTTGGTCGGCTTCCATAGTTGGAATTGGGAGTAGTAGCTTGCTTGTAAAATGTTAACATGGGCAAAGCTTCCGTGGTATAATAAGGACTATAGGTATCAATGTGATGAGCGGATTCACTATAATTTGTCCTATAATCATTTTTGCTATTCGAGGTTTTACTACCATGACCACAAGATGAAAGATCGAAGGCGACCTCCAAATTATCGTTTCGGGATTTACGACAATCTAATTTCGATGAATGACAAGGTGGCCCACTGTTATGGCTAACGGTATTCAATCCTCGTTTCGATTGGTAACTCTCCATCATACCCTTTTCTTCATCTACTTGACGATATTTTATACAGGAATGAAGATCGGATGTACATGCTTCCTCCTGACGTGTATCAGGCGCATAATCCATTTTGACCTGACAGACATCAATATTTTGGTTGGTAACCGGTAAATTATCATTGGCTTCTGGATTGGAATTGACGACCCTAACGCGAAACTTGGACGCTTTCGATTTATCGTCCGTATTTTTAAGATTGGAAAGTTTCGTAGGCATGATGTAATATTAACGAAAAATGAAGGCAAGCTGCACGATGGCTTTACTTTACCGGTAATCGATTGCTCTACACCGTATCAATGGAAAATTGGAACGATTTTCCTTCTATTTTCGATCACCATTGAAGCCGGCGTTACTCCTCCTCTAGTTTCATTTTCGCATAACGTTAAAAGCAAAATACGACCGGCACGAGCTATCGCGGATGACGTTGAAATTGGTATTGTTTACCACCTACGTACGATGATAACATACAGTACAGTCCATTCCAGTACGACTACAGTACTGTACAGTACTGTACTGTAGTGTAGTGTATTGTACTGTAGTCAGTTGCAATGTACTGTAACTCACCGGCACGAGAAATCGCGAATGACGTTGAAATGGGTATCGTTTACCACCTACTGTACAGTACGATGATAACATACTGTACAGCACAGTATAATGGTGCAGTACTGTACGGCACACAGTACTGTAGTCAGTTGCAAGGTGAGTCACACGCCAAAAATGAGCCTAAAATCTGACGCGGCAAGAACCAAAGGGAATCGAACAGTACCAGTACGCGTACAGTACGTGGCGTACACTACAACACACTGGGCTCGGTTGAGTACGTGAGCGTATCGTTGAAACTTGAAGGAACATTTTTGTCTTTCATTCATTCATTCATTGTCACGCATGGGCTGCACTAGTCTACAATGTACAGTGTACAATACCCTCGTCGTTTTACAGTACCGTACTGTAGACAAGGTGGTCTGGCAAAGCCTAGTAAAACCTGCTTTAAAACCATGGTAAACCATAGACTTGGACTACTAAATTTCGAAATTACCAATAAATAAATGACGAGGTAAAATAATATTTTACCTCGTTGATGCAGAAGTAGACAATACATTGGTGAATGGAACTTTTGTGAAGATTGTCTCATGTACAGTATAGTACAATACTATGACTATCTTTAGATATTTTTTATATCAGTGTGAACATTTTACGATCATGATACTTAAGTATCGATCACTTAATCTTTGAACAAGTAATAATTGATGTAATTTTTCGTCTTACTTTTTACCTAGTACTTTTTACTAAAATCCCATATCATGAAATTTTGACTGTACAGTGTACACCAATAGGAAGATACTATGCTCAATATTGCTTCATACATAAACACATGGCTGCATACCGTGTTGGAGCATCGCATCAGCATTAACATTACCGTAGCTTTCCAACACGAACCAGCATGCTCAATTTTTTTCTTACTTTGTAAGCAATCAATGATTGTACTGTACTGTACTGTGCATTGTCCAATGTAATGCAATGATTAGGTTATAGCACCCTGTGTTAGCATGCTTAATCCGGCCATTCATTCATCTATCAGCTGTCATGGACTATTCTAGACAATAACGTAACATGCGAGTATTCATTGAGGTAGATATCTAAAAAAAATATTCATGACTAAAATTGCTTAATTTATTTGATCTAGAGTAATTTAGAACTTGAGCTTTATTAGTGCACTTTAGCAAATCGCTTAATTATCAAGCGAAACATGATCAGATATCAGAGGCGTAAAAGAAATTAAATTCAGTAACTATAAAAAGGCTACATCATAAATTTAGTCTTGAGCTAAGCATATAACATACTACTCGTACTATTATAAGAATTGAAAAAAAAAACGGTGATATTGATGATGAATATTAATAGTATTGCACTCCTTTGGCGGTTGTACTATAACTTGATGATCTACAGTATAGTATAGTACCTTACAGACAAAACGGTAGATTTCGAAAATACTGTACATATGTACGGCCAGTACAGAGGTACTTCTTCTGATTTAGATGAATAGATAGTACTATAGCACCATCTGTACTATTATTATTCCTAAAAATTTAGGAAGGAATAGCTAAGAATAAATTTATTATTTGTAAATTGTTTAATTATCTACATACGAAAAGAATATTATGAGTATTTACATGTTAACAGAAAGTCACTACACGGGTATACCTACAGGAACGGTAGAAGCTTAAATTATTATGTCATATATACTGTTATACTTGTACCGTATATTGTGCATGTATGTATCCATAAGGAATGCTTTTCGTTTAAGAATTAGTCGTTTAATCATTATCTTTTAATAAATATGAGCATATTATCAGCCTACATAATACGCGATTCACTTAAATATAAAATTTTCAATTTAACGACCTTAATGAGAAAACACTTTTGCTTCCAGTTAGTATCACTGTACTATGATCGTCCTACTGTCATACTTATACATCTGACAGTACTAATCATGGATAAATTGCGATCATAGAGTGCTTTGACCCTCCTTAAAAAATTATCTTTGTGAATATATTTCTGCAAAAAATAAAAATATTTAACAAACGTGCTTAATTACTGATCGACTAATACAATGAGAATAACAGCGTTTTGCCACGGATCGTGACCCAAACAATATTAGATCAGGTGGAATAACTCCCAGAAATAAATATATTTATAGAGTACGTATATAATATAGATTGTGAGATAGAATAGCAAAAGTATTGTGCTATTAGCTGTGTAACTCAATAGAATAACGAAAGCATCAGATCGTTAGACAATACTGTTCTATAGATCATAGACTGTACGTAGATGTTGCCTAAACATTCAGATGGGTAGTACGGTATGCCAGTTTTCAAGATACTTTGATCTAATACGTTTATTTATTTAAGATAGCTCTTAATTTCAGTATTATCCACTAATAACAGGATCAAAATCTGTACCTTATATTTATAGAAGCCATTAAGCGCAACGCCTATTTATCAGAAATTTTAGATGTATATAATCATGAACAAAAAGCCTATTGCATATTTTAGATCACTTAGAATAACAATAGTTTCAATGAACTAGACTGTTTACTAGAACGCAATGTCTGTCAATAGAAGACAAAGTAAGCAAATACATTACAATTATTAGGGTAATAGCTATTTTTACTAGTTTTAACATTTGACGATGATGATTAATTTCAGAATCACAAGTAAGGGAAAAGTTCTCACTCTTTCTTACAATTAATATTTTATTTTATCACTAAAGTTGAACATGATGACAAATACGGGCTTCAAAATAGCACCGATTACTTCCCTGAATACGAATTAAAAAGGTATTGTTATTGTTATTTGGCTTCACGTGTTGTTTTCAACTTCTTAATGTGATAGCTTTCCTGAATACTGCTAAAATACAATACTCATATGAAAAAGAGAAGAAACGCCTAATATCTATAATAAAGCATTATTGGCTAATTGAAAGATCCTACCGTATGATCTGGCTTTGATAGATAAACTATTATCGTATAGTACTAGCTTAAAATGATGATCCGATCAAAACAGTCATACTGTATTACCTTAAGCACAATACGTAGAGCTACATTGTCTCTTCTCAAATATTTCGTTTACCGATCGTAACACGTTAAGCACTCATAAATTAATAAACATCCTATATTTGCGATTGCCGTGAAAAATTATAAACATCTAGTCCGATATCTGATTACATTTCTATGCAAAGTTTGTTACGACTAGAAGCACACAATATCGCACTTTACGGCATTGATGCTTTCAAAGCTCAATTTTATTCTTTAGTATGGTGATCGAATCAGGCCTAACTGAAATGATGGTAATTTGATCTTATTTCACGAAAGCTTGCAGTGAATCATTCAGAATAAAAAAATATTCAGTACGCTACAAATGGTGTATTTATTATGATCTATTACAGTATTCTACCTTGATCAGTGTATATTTTGCAATAGAAGATTATCTGCACAACCATGTCGAACAGTGTTTCCAATTAGCAAGTACAACCATGAAGACCAGACCGATGATGTAGTCGTGATACTAAAATGAAATATAATTACTTGCTAGCAAATACTATATAATCAACGCCATATCGTTATGATTCTATACTGAGAAAATAAATTAATTTGGGGCTATGAAGCAGACTCTACACGTATGTACAGTACAATTATAGAACTGATTGCTCCCCGTAATAATCCATTAATCAGTGATTAGTGATTATTATGATAATCATGATGGCGGTACCAATTACTACTTGGTACTCACAATGGTTATGGTCATCATTGCCGACATATGCATTTCTAAATAATTCCAACAAGATTAAACCGTAGAGGTAGGAAAAAGGCCTTTTATTCTCCTATCCATCATATGCAAGATGAGCTAGAGTTTACAAACCGAGAGTTGAAGAATTGCAATTCTGTACTTTTCGGTATACAGAAATGCTAAGTAAGAAAGGTTACGATCATAGCATACTATCATGAAGTTTTTTAATTTTATACTGTGCGAACATTGAATTTAGTATAATAGCAGATGAAGATTAAAGTTATTAGCTTTACGGCTGTCGATTGTATTTATCAATTAACGATAAATCGTAACAGGTTAGAAGCGCACGGTAAAAGCCTAAATATTGGTCTTGAAATTTCAACGATAATCGACCAGTATTAATAATTTATTGTATAAATAATGATTATAATTGTCCACATATGCTACGTTAAGTTCATTTATGGAGATAACTTGGCTATAATTTTGTAGGTAGCTCTCACATTTACAGTATGTACTTTATTTCAAAACTCATTTACTGTACTGTACTTTATAGCATATCCATTTGTGAGAGGGAATCAAAATAGGATTTGGGCGCATGCTGCGCTGTATCCAGATTGAGATGGTATTATTGTCTGCAACTTAAAAAAACATTTTTATGGATCTAATATTTATTATTTTTGAAAGCGAAAAAATTTTTGGTTTATGATGCGTCTCGCCATTGACTGTCTGCACTCTGCAGGTAACGCTAACTTATGCAGCTGGCCAAAAATAAAAATTATCGACGTTCGTCTTTCATCAATTATGTAGTATACGTTTTAAGAGAATTGCTATTACCAATTCATAAATACGAGTGGCCGCATTTGACGAAAGGCTTTGCCCATTCAAATTTTAACGATATTATTAAATAAGATTACCTTGCGTTACGGATGATGATTATTTTTTTATCATCGAACAATTATAAAAATTTTGAAAAGATTCAAAAGAATTCAACATCGGAATTCAATCTTCTACCATTACTTCTAGTGTACAGTATTCCTAATTCATAATTATATTATCATTAGTATTATCCATTTATGATTGCACAACTGTACAGTACCCAACACGACACTAGTGTTTTAGGCATTGGATCCGATCGTGTCCAAAATTTCGTCTATCTGATTCTCTGCAGCCTCCGCAGCACAACATTGCTTAAACTGTACAGTGTACAGTACCTCATCCACATACTGTACTGTACAATGTACAGTGTACTGTACAGTACAGTATAACGTCGCAAACCTGCGTACAGCTCACTACAGTGTACTGTACTGTACTGTACAGCATCGTGAAGTAAAAACACAAGTACAGTACTGTACTATACTGTACTGTACTGTCCAATACACATGCGCACTACGCGAAGAGCGTCGCATGTACAGTATATTGTACTGTACAAAAACAATACTGAATCAAGAACGCCAGCGTACAGTGTACTGTACTGTATGTTGAAGAGTGAAGACTAAAAAGTTGAAAGCTCCGTAGTCGCTGATGTGTTGATTGCTCAAGAACGAAATCAAATTCTTAAAGCAAAAAAATAAGGGAATCCCATGAACGTAAGTTCTATAGACGGACTAATAACTTTAGTCGATCATACTGTAACTATTAATGAATAAAGTAGTGCATTCATGGATAAAATAGATCCTCAGATAGAACGCTTTTCACCAGTGAAGCTATGAAATATTGCAATGTTGATCCCAATTCCGTAATAACTGTACTCAGTAAGCACAGATTTCTTCTTCAAACTACACTACGTACAGTACAGCAATGAAAATAAGGATGATATTGAGACAAACTTCGATAGTACTGTACAGTACTGTATACTCTAAATGTTGGACTACTTTTACGTCAATCATTTTCTTACAGGATCTTGGCGCTTATGTCACTCTTTCCGAATAGACTGTATCAATTTTAGAAAGACTAAATTGATCCTACATTCGACTTTTTTGTTGCTATGAGTGCCAGTCTAAGGTAGCTACGAGTTCCATACGTGGTAGAAATTTGTAGTACAATAGAAGTCTCCGGTATGCGAATACTGGACGATACGATACAATCCCTGATACAATACTTGAAAAGTCTTGGGTGTAGACCACAACACTCAGTACGGCATAGTTTACAGTATTTGTTAATTATTGCTATACTGTACGTATCTGCTATAAATGTAATACTCGTCTCCGGTCCCCGCTGGACACGACTCACGACGGCTAAAAATGAAGAATCTTAGTTGTGTACTCCTTCACAATACTGTGTACTGTAATATGTGTACCAATAGAAGTAAATAATGTACATATTCGGTCCTAAATATTTCCAATAATTACAACTTTTCCAGGCGCGCTTGCTACATGTAAGGTCATAAACGCGAAACATACAGTACTGCACGAGTAGAAGTACGGTACAGTACATTGTACATATCAAATTTCATCTTATTATATAGTATTATATTCTATATCTCTACGTATTGCACTAGAATGACTCGTCGACAACAGCAATTGATGATGATTAAGCACATTACACCGCTATACTGGATATTTTTTTAGTGAAAACGTCAAAAGGTTTATTAACAAAAACCGTTGATACTGATCGTCTGGGTTTTACATTTAGTACCTTGTACGCACGTTACGACGTGTATAATCATAATGATGTATAATTAATTATTAGCAAAAGCATTTAATCGGTTAATCTACTGCCATGTTTAATAACAGATAGCAAGAAATATAAATATTCCGCGTAACTGCTCGTCAGGACAGACGATCAGTCTTGATATGAACTCTTTATGATACTTCGTTTTACTTTGGCCAATTTAGAAAAGATCAAGACCTGTTTAGGATTATAGTACAAAGTATATAGCAATACAGCACACTACTTAATGTATTACTAACTTAGGATCATACTTTTCACATTTACGTATGCGTTAACATTCGCGCAAGCACCTCTGTAATAAACAGTTAGATTCGATTGCTAGCCTAGTCTGCATTCTCTAAAAACGTATTTTTACGGTTTATTGCTGTATATGAATAGAACTATATGAACATAACAGTGTCCTTATTAACTCTACTGATTAATACCACGATTACGGCAAACGATCGATCATTCTTCGACATTTCGTCAATTGAGATAAATTGCGATGTAGTAGTGTAGTGTAGTACGGTGCACGTACATTTATTACTTGCTTAGATTTTATACAATCAGTGTAAAAACAATCTTTTTAGAACGTTTCAGAACTCTCTAAACTGCAGTTACGCTCAGTAAAAACAGCATTTTTCAAAATTAGTTGTCATCTCTCTCGAACTGGTATACTGTACTGTAATCTACAAACTAGAGGCTTGCCTATCACTGACTGGAAACCTACAGTACTGCTCTGTAGAGGTTGAGATGCACGCCTTGGCACAGACTGCTGCGGTAACTGTTTGAAACAACCCGTTTCAAACTCTACAGTACTTAGTGACTCCGAATATTGTAAAGCACAGTACAGTACACTGTACTGTAGTATTGTCCGATACAGTACATTGTACTGTATGGAAACGCGTCAACACCAACTGTAAATAGCTTCGAAAATACCTAAACGCTCCCTGCTTTGGTCATTTCGTCTGTATTAATGTACAGGATTGATCACTATTTTGGAGATCAGTAACACTCAACTACGCTTAAAATGATAGTGGACTGTATCATTTCCAATTTTACAAAGCCATTTTTACTATAACCAAAAGTCAGAAATTGACACTCTTCATATTTACTTTTGCTAGCACACCATTTACACCACTGCGATGGACGATATGTCCATTACGTGAATTCTTCATTTATTTAATTGAATTAATTAAATAGAAAAAGCCAAGAGCAATAAAAGGACAAAATGGACAAAAATAACCTGCTAAACTGTATCTATTTGTGCTTTTTATTAACCCTCGTAACGTATGTGACTAATAGATTGACGTGATTTTCTGACTAGTTTTAGCTTCGAAGGACTTTTTACTTTTCCTATCAACACTACATGTGGTAATTACCCAATTAGTGAATGACAGTATCCCTAAAAAGCTCTCGAAGTGGGTCAACGATAATTGGTTTGCCTCTTAAAGAATAGCTTCATCATGGCCAGAATGAAGTTTATCACCGTAGATATCATGATGCTTCTTTCGCTTGGGTTAATATGTTCTATTGGTTTGGTTGATTGTCAGCTACCTAGCAAAGGTAAGACGAAGATACAGGAAATCAACTTTCCGCACGTGATACCATAATACGCGTAATACCATCTATGTTCATTCATCTATCCTGTACATAACACAGTGCACCGTGGTGACTTAGATTAACAGTAAATTATGTCTATGTGAAATATTTTATGAACTTATTCAGAATTAAACTGATTTCAACTACAGTATTCCAAGAACCTTTATCAGACTTTATGCATATTGCGGCATTGATTGATTTGTAGATATTTCCTATTATTGTTTTTGTGTGTAATGATATACCGGTAGGTGGCATGTAATAGTTGATCGTTTCATAAACATTTTAAAACTTGAGTGATAATGGTCCTCTGTCTTCACTTTACACTTTAGTACGGAGTGATCTGGCTTTACTCAGTTTATTTATTATTATTCTCTTGTAGTATGCTATGAACCTTCCGGCGAGGGACTAATTATGAAAGTAATCGCTGATGCTCCTATCTTAAAAGGTTGTACGGTCTACGTTGGATCAATTTTTTTTGCCAACTATCGAATGCATACACAAGCACATGTCAATGCTTCAATATTCCCTGATTTACGGGAGATTACTGGATCTCTAGTAATGGGTTTAGTGGCTGGCAAATATCCAACCTCCCTTGGTTTTATGTTTCCAAATTTACGTGTAATCCGTGGCAATCAATTCTTTTATGGCTTTACCTTGCTTCTTTATTTTGATCAGCAATTACTAGACATGTCATTACCTTCACTCACCAAAATCGAACGCGGTAAAGTCAGAATCCAGAACAATAAGATTATGTGCTACTATAATACTATTAAATGGTCAAGTGTTATGGGATCAAGTTATGCACCTGATAGAATCATCACAAAAACTTTACCGACTAATTGCCCAACTTGTCCAGCTAAATGCAATGGTTATTGTTGGAATGCACAGAAATGCCAAATCAGTATGTTGATTGATTAATAAATTACATTTACTACTGTAGAGCCCCTCCCTTGCTCATGATACTTTGTGTACTGTCTATGTACTTTTTTACTTTATATTATACTCACTACAGCCAGTTTTTTATTTTAGAGTATCTTGATCTGT